AACGCTGCAATAATGTAGAAAAATTGCTGCAATAATATAATCGTCAGTCATTTCCTACAACTTTTAACCATCTCTTTGGCGATAGATTGCCCAAAGAGCAATATTGTGATTTGGCAGCGATCCAATCATCGATCCATTTTGTCACTTCTTCAGCATCGATCTGAACAAGTAGTAATAAGATGCCACTATGTCTGCTGAGTACGCTCGGAGCTGTAATAGCGTGTCCCTGGCAACTCTTGCAATGTGCGGCCGAGCGTTACCATGCAAGAGAATGACTTTGCGTCTGTTAATCGTTGCTGCGTTCGGTAGATATCTGCCGTAACAGTTTCATTCGATTTTAATAGCTGCTAACATATATACGTTGCTGAGCCCATCCTGCCAGCAAATCTTTATGACCACGAATTTTTCGTTTTGGTGTCGATGCGAACGCGCTCTTCCTAGACTAATCTATGATTTTTTTTTTTTGAGCTTGAGATTGATTATTTAGTTATATAAATAGATAAAGTGTCGTTTTTCTGACCTCATATGCAAACTAAGCGCAGATGTAGCCAAAAGGGGCATCGAATTGATGTCCTAATGAATGAATGCACTCCCATGATCCCATCGAACCTTAACTGAACATGTATGTATGTATGTATGTAGGGATTTTAATATCATTCAACTAGCGCTAATTAATTGCAAGCATGCAACAATGGGCCAATTTGAGGTAATTTTCGTTTTGATTTTTGAATGCGAGACGAACCTCAGAGGAATTGAAAATTAAAGTAAAGATAAAGTCGCGTGTGCCTAAGGTTTGCCTGAAGGTGTAAACAGACCTCTCGCTTCGTTTTACCAATTAAAGAGCCATTTCAAATACTTTCCTACTGCCTAGTACTTAAACTCATATGAGAAAGTATTTATTTATGAATGAATGAATACCATTATGTTTAACTATTTCCGGCAAAAAGTATAATAATTCAGTGCGATTTACATTTTTATTGTAAATACAACAAAAATTTCATTTCATTTCATTTTTATGATATAAGACAAGAAGCTATACAACCAGGTAGATAGGGTAGTACGCGATGATTTTGGAATGTAAAATGTGATTTATTTTATTTTTGATCAAACTATTTGCATCCGATGATATACAGAACATTCAGAAATGTCAGAGTAACGATCCGATAAGCTTTTCCGTGAAATTTAACCGGAAACTTTCAATATCTACACCAAAGCGAACATTTTCGAACCCAGAGTCGCATTTTATGAAAAACAATAAACTATGTATGCGGTTTGAGATGACGAACAAATGATTAATTGATGTAAAGATTGAGTGAACATATTCGGGAAGCAACCGAACGGTCCGATAGCCTATAATGATGAACGAATCTCTTCAATTTCTCAAAAATACGAATTATTGATGCGAAGCGGTAATGAACAGTTCATTGAAATTTTTTCGTAAAATATATTTTCAAATATAACTAAACATTTTTTTTGGCATTTTTCCATAAACTCCTTAAGGCTTAATATTGAAAAATAAGGTACTTTTTTGAAGTTTATATAAGAACGTGCAAGAATTTTCTATTCGGCTGCTTGCGAATCTCTTCGCGCCCACGACCTTTAGCTTAAAAAGTAGAAACTAAGAGGAGCAAGAAAACTATATTCAGTTGTGACCGAATCTTCTTTACCCCATCACCGTCATTCTGAAAAGGACTACAAAGAAGGAAAAGAACTACATTTTCATACTCTGTAAGATTGGATGGACGCGGTAAATTTTTTTTTTATTTTCAGAATAAAAATGGGAATTTATATCGTATACGGTGTTGTACTTTAAGACCAACATGCAAAAAAAAAACTATTACAGTGTTAGTATTGTAGGCGTGTCCTTTGTATCTTCATTCTTGCGAATGGGAGATTGTTTACCGTATGTATTATATATTTTGGTAGGCGGACAGATGGACAGACGAACAAGCGAAAATACTTGGATGGTTTCCAAGTTTGAAACTGGCCAAGAATTTACATACTTTATGAGGTGTTCGAAGCTTGCTTTGGCGCGTTATAATATTGAATAGACGTGGTCAACTTTTCCCACTTGTGCCGGAGTATTATAGCGTCAGTCGTAAAATATATGTTTAAATTTTTGTAGATTCATCTGCTGTAGTTTATGAATAATAAACAAATAACCAATTTTTTATTCCTTTTGAAAAACAGATTTCATGCACTACTGTAGGCGCGTCGTGCGACGTATTTGGTCAATTTTCAATGCCAATGTACCTGCAAAAACTTCAATTGAAGTCGGATAGCTTAACTTTTGCGACCACAGATGGACAGATGGACATGCTTAAATCGATTTAGTATTTGATATTGATCGGCAATATTTTTGGGGTCCCCGAAGCTTACTTCTGGGTTTGCGACACCTTTTAACAAAATGAATGTAGCGCTCATCCTTTGTTGATGAGTATACAAAGCATCAAATCCGCAATATTAGGTGAATATTGACTGAATTTTTCAATTTATGCAAAATACAAAATTTTATTGTGCGCCTGCTATAGTTTATGAGTAGTAAGCAACAAATCCAGGAAGTAGAAACGACCTTTCCCCGATGAAGTCGATAGCTTCATTTTCCTAATTAGGAGAATGGTTATCACAGTTGATTGCTCACCCGGATAGAAAAACGATTCTTAATTTCTTGCTTAAAAAAACGATTCATAATTTCATGCTGATCAAGATTATTTGTATATAGATGCGCGTTGTGGGGTTCGTAAAGCTTTCTTTTAAATACTGCAGATGTTTTGAGGTACCCCCGGTTTACTGGTAAAGAATATAAAAATCGCATTTTTATATATGAAAATGCAAAGTCTCAATTTTTTGGAGCAAGATGGAGTCGTGGTAGCTTTCTTTCATCAGTTCCCTATAAATTTTTTATATATGCTTGCGCTAATCAAGTTCAACAATAATCGCGTAAAAATTAAAATAACTTAAAAATGAGATATATATGAACCATATGAGAATTTGAAAATTTCTTCTTCGCAATCAGAAAATTTGAATACTCAAATACTGTTACAAGGGTGGAAAGATAAATTCAAATTTAACTATCAAGGACACCTATCACCTATCATCTCCCTTAATAGGACTCTATTAAGGTACGATAAAAGATATAGTTGGATTTGGAAGCCTACTCTGTCCAAATTAAAAAAAATGTAGAATATTCTTGTGGACACCTCATGGATCGATCTAAAAATTACCTTCAAACAAGTTAAAATGAACTATTTCTGCCAAGTTTTTGAAATTTATTATTTCAGTATTTCAGCATATGCCGACTATGGGAAAATGATCAGATTCGAGACTGTGATGCACTCAAACATAAAACAAATCCCAACGATATGATATTCACCTATATCATGTGAAGTTATCCAGAGTTATCTTTCAAACAAGGCAAACAAATTCAAATTCGTCTTTTACCAAATTTTCTTCTGTTAACGTTAATAGGCCGCGTGTATCACTTTGTTAATATGCAAAAAAGATATATGAAAAACGAAATTATTTTGTTGTAATTTTGAAGCAAGTAAGTCAATTTATATTTGTCTTGGAGTGATCTCGCCTAATTTTTTTTTTTTTTTTTTTTTCTTTTTTGAATTAAAACTTCACTAATTCTTGCCTGAAATTGTAAAAATCTTGAAATATTTTCTCTCGAAAAGCATCGCTGGGCTAGGCCTTGTTCGCAAGATTAAAAAAAAAGATTAGGGGAGTGAAGATAAATTAGAATTTAATTAGCAAAGACACCTACCATAACTCTTAACAAAAGTCTGTTAACGCGTTAACAGAGATAGATGTTAAATAATTAAAATTAAGATATAGTTGGATTTGAAAGTCTATTCCGTCCATATTAAACAACGTAAAATATTTTTGTGGACATCTACATGAAAATATCTCTCAAACAAACTAAACAAAATCAAATTCTGCTTATGGAAACTATATTTACCGATTTTTCGAAATTTGGTATGTTAGCGTAACTGTACTAGGGTCTCTAAAGCTTCCTTCTGTAATTTGGTTGTGAGCAAAAAAAACAAATGCAACATAGCCTACGTGCAACAATTTCCGATATCTTTGCCACAGCAACTAACAGACAGGTGAACAAAAGGACTGACAAACATTTCTAGAATAATTCACACTTAATACTAATCAATAATATGGAGAATTTATATTATCTCTGAAGCTTGTGACTAGACGTAATAGGTAAACATTTTAGTGAAAGAAGATGGATGCTGCGAGAGTACCCATAGAATATAAATGTATATTTTTTTTTTTTTTGTATTCGCAGAGATGGTCTTAGGTTATGTTGTGGTCGTTGGACCAATTTGGTCCATTTTCAAGATAAACTTTCTTGCGAAAACTTATTCGTTCCAAAGTCAGACAGGTAGACATACGGATGGACATGCGTGAATCAACTTACGATTTGATGCTGATCAACGATATACATATATGCTTTATGGGGTCTTTGAAGTTTTCTTCCTGGCTGTTGCCAACCTTCAGTGATGAATCAAAAAAAAATATTAAAAAAAAATTATTTCAGAATTTAGAATTTTCTGTACCGACAAGATAACTTATTTATTGATGGAATTAAAAGGAAATATACTGATGTAGATGATAAACTTGACACAAGGTATTCTTCCGAAAAAAAGATTCATCTCTACAAGGCAAACATTTGCGAGCGATGAACAGACTATGACTTCGTACAGAGAATTCGGTTAATGGTCGCTATACCTATGCATAAATGTTATCGCACACTCACATTTCGGTATGAGAATGATCGCCAATTGACATATTCATCAGCCGGTAATAAAAAATGGATGAAATTATTCAATTTTTCCAAATTTATTCCGAAACAATGAAAACTTGCCGAAGTTTGTTCGTAGTTAAAATAAGTTTGATAAGATAGTTGATAGTTTATGGATTTTTATTGATCAACTCTTCATTTAAATATTTTTCTTCTTTTATTGTATAGGAAGTGATGAACTTACCTAACTGAAGTTACGGCAGCAAGAGTGACGACAAAACAGACCAGATGTGTCGGTAATTTGTAATCAAAGTAGAAAAGTGGAAAAAGTGCGACAATAAAGAACAAGAAACAGGCGGCAAAGAAAACGAGAACTGAAGTTATATTGTAAAAGCGCGCAACGCGTTTTTATGATGATAACGATGATGATGATGATGATGATGATGATGATGCAAAAGAATTCCGTAAGTTTTCTAGTTGTTATAACTTTCTTTTTTGACTTTCTTTGTTAGCCTCTGTTAACTGATTATTGTCTTTGTTTTCACATTCAATTCTCCAGACGCCAACAATAATTAATTGCAATTTTTAGGTTTTCTGGAAACTCCCAAACAATACATGACTTGTATTAAGATGAATTTAATAAAAAAAAAAAAATTTTTTTTATATTTTGTGAGATAATAATTCGATTTAATGCAATTCGTTCACAGAGTTTGCCAAACATTACGTTCAAGCTTAAGTATGTGATTGGTTTCTTTTTTTTTTTTCCTTTTTTCAAATATTATTATTATTAACCGCAATTCACTGCAAACTTATTCCCAAGCCCATAAACGCACACAAGTAAGCAATAGTTGTTTTACTACTACTTCGGCTGCTACAACTATTACTTAGTAAACAAACAAAGTACTCGCAAGTCGTAAGCATGTAACTATGAAAACGTTAACAAAACAACAAAAACTACTTTGATAAAAACTTATTCGCAAAAACAGTCAAAAACAACAACAAATAAGACCAAACAAAAAAGTGGTTAAGATGCGAGATTCTGCGAAGGTTGCTTGGGTTTTGGGCTCTTCTTTCACACGTACACACTTGCATACACACAATATATAATCGCGTACACAAATTCAGCGCACAAAACAAAAATAAATAAATAAAAAAAATACAGGTTTTAAAACTGAAATTTTTTTTTTTGCCGATCATAAATTATATTTTAAGTAAATGCTCATGTTTCACTTTTTATTTTAATACATAAAATTTTGATTTTAATTTCTTTTAATATGAATAGCGATAAGAAAAAACAAAAAACCTTTTTAATGTCAAAATGTCAAGTCAAAAATTACTGGTTTCTTCTTTTTTTTTAGCCAACGGTTGCAGTAACATTTTTGAAATGAATTTGATGAATTTTGGTGAAGTAATTCTTTTTTGTTTTTATTCATTAAATGGCATTTTCTTATGTAAAACTTATTGTTTATATATTGTATTGTTAATATGTTTATTTTTTATATTCCTTTTTTTTTTTTTTTTAAATAACTTTCAATTACGTTAAAGTTAGACAAACAAATGCTTATGATTTCACAACCACTCCTTCTAAATATACAATTTATTTATTATTTATTAATATTTATAAAAACGAAATTACGATTATCACTAATTTCATAAGCTCCATTCATTCCCAATTCAATTTTTGTGAAGAAAACAAGCAACTGAAAAATAATATCCAAATTGTTTAGATTTATATTCATGTAAGCAATTGGTAATTCTCTCTCTATTTCTTTGTCTATCTCTCTTTGAGACACGAGTACAATAAATTTTACAATAACAAAATGCGAGAGGATCCCATACTGACATCTAATACAAGAAACTTCTCTCAGGGCGAGAGAGAAAACCACCTAAAAAATGCTTAGATCAGAGACAACGAAAAACATAGCCATTTTAACATTTTTTGTTCAAAAGTAAGATTAGAAGATTCTTGGGAATGTTTTCTGTTATCAATAGAATATAATAGAATAGAAGAATTTGTGTATTCGCTGCAACGCTGTTAATTAGCAGATATTTATATGCTTGCTCCTTCACTCTCATTATTTGTATGGGCAAAGATTCTGTTATTAGTCTCTTGACATAACGTTCGCGAAGCAGAAGCGAATATAATTCTGTGAATAAAGATTATGTTATCCATATAAGTGTGATTGCACGAAAATAGACCAAAAAACAGGTATGTATGTAGCAAATTATATTTGTTTTCTTTTAGCCCCGTTTTTTGAAGAATTGAAGAATCCTAAATTATTCAACAATTTTTTGGCAATCGTTGGGAACTTTGTTAAGAAAATAAAATGTCTTTCACAGCGTACTTGTTTTAAGGTATATGCATATATGGTGTATTCTGAAGAGAAACTGGGTATCTATTCTACCGCTTGCTTCGTTATAGACATTTCCGATGCGCCTGCTTCATCATCACAAGCAATATTAAAGTCGGTCTGTTCTGTATAAATATCGTCACCAATGTCCTGACTGCGTACTTGATAATCTGTTTCCAATGGGTGCGCGTCTACAAGACCTTCTTCGCGCCCTTCCGTAGTCCAGCCTAAAATTATATGATCGTTTTATTCATAGTTTGAACTTTGGGATATATTTGCAGGAGCACGCATACAACTGGCTGCTAATTAACAGCGTTACTACTGTTATTGACAACATATACACAAAAAGTCCGCAAGAACCTTCTCAGTGTAATTATGAGAAAAATGTTGGAACATCTACGTATTTTGTTAGATACCGATTCAGGTTAATATGGTAAAGTGGTGATTCCCTGCACTCTCTTTATCTTCTTTTCTCTCTCTACGACACGAGTACAAAAATATCTTCTTTCAGAGCAAACAAAAGCTTACAATAGCAACGCCAGAAGTGCTGCCAAGTGCAGCGAAAACTTTTTCTCATTTTTGTTCTACAGGGTAATCATCTGAAAGTTAACTTTCGTGCGCGATCTAATTGATAAACGTGTTGGTCGTGATCGCGTAAAACTGTCCATTTAGTTGCTATCATTCACGAGAAAATGAAAAAGCCGAAAATATAAAAAAATTTTTGCTTATACTTAATTGCGCTTGTCAATATACGAAAAATAACAGCTGAGTGTTGATCGGGGATCTCAAAGACATCTCACGTTTTCTTTTTTCGACTGGTTCGCTATCGTATATGTGATAGCATTCAACGTTGATTAATAATTATCGTGTTCTTGGGATCACGTATGCACAACAGCTGTTAAGTATACTCTGCCGTACTTGTTATATTATGCGAAAACAAAAGAGCTGACGTTTAATATTAGCTATTTAGAGTTACATTTATAAGAGAACACAATATTCATAAGTAAAAACAAAATCAATTCCGACTAAAATTGTTTAATTACAAAAAATTAAAATAAAATAATTAACAAAACACTCAGTATCTTGACGTTGCACGCACTATCGTTCTTAATTTTGTTGAATAATAATTGTTGAACAATCTCTTGAAAGCATCTTTCATAACAAAAAGGAAATAAATGTTGGACTTTTGAAATAATAAATCACATAACGTGTACTTACATGCGCTACTTAGCTGTACTCGACAGGTTGTCTTCAAACGGTGCATCTGTTACACTAGGCTTCTAAACACGTAAAAAACAATTTGAACACAGAAAATTGCGCATTAAAATTTTATTCGCTAGGCTATTCTGCTGGTGGAGGGAAATGCATCACTATTAAAAAATTTGAACGGAGCGGCGAATTTCAGCACCCTTGTTCGGGATAGTCAGTAACAGTTCACTCAATTGTGCTTTGGAAAATGGTCTGCAATCATAATCGTTGAATATGGAAAAATGTTAATACAAACCAATCAAAAAATATTTATACTTTTCTTTATTATATTATTTTTCTATTATATAGCATTATTTGCATCTATTAAATAATGACAATGATGCTGATAAACCGTTATGTTTACTGTCGACGATTGCGACTCTGCATATATGTTTTTAATGTTATTAGTATATCAACATGTAATATACATAATGTTATACTATAATATTGCACATTGTTAATATTATTTACATTCTTAATAATATCACGTTAGATAATATATATATATATATTATTATATATATATTAATGTTCTCGTGAAATTGCTATTAATATTGTTGTCATTATTGTTAAGCGTTATATACACAGAGCTGCATAGATTTAATGTCATCATAATCGAAATGAAAGCCAGCGGCTTTTGGTACGGTACGGCAGCACTGTTGTTTCTTAAGTTCTTTTATATTTTCGATATCTGCTGAAAAAGCGCTGCTGACGTCAGGAAATTTTTACAAAATCTATAAAAAGGAAAACTCTTTTAAAACAATCAATTTAAAAGTTAAATAATTCCTTATAAAGGTATGTAGAGTTGTATTAATATTTATTCTTTTTGTTTATTTAGAAGTGTAAGAAATAGGTAGAATTTCTCTAGCGCTGACGCCATCTTAAATTTATACATGCGTCTCAGCGTGCGGAGAGCAGAAAAATTATATATTATAAAATTGTTAAAAATGTTTATATTCTTTTGTTTTTTTTTTCACTCGAACTTTCGAAAACGGCGGTTTTTATTGAATCTTCAGGGATTTAGTTTTCCAAGATTCTTGTTTTACGGAAATTTAGACGAAACGAAAGTAGAATGGCCGGCTATTTACGGTGTGTTGTGTATGTGTGCACTTTTGGAAATGTTCAATCAACTTGAAAATGAATATTTTTTCCTCCTCAAATATCTTTGAATTTGTTGTAAACAGATTTTTCCTATTTTTACATATCTATCAAAATATGAAACTTTTAATTTACTTTAAGAAACGTCGAGGAAAGAATAACGGCTGCCGGTGTTTGCGTTAAAACGAAACTATAACGAGTGCGAACGCGTCGTTGCAATTAACGTTAACGTCGTTTTGTATAATTTGATTGATATATACTCGTACATTGTCGTTTGCTTTTTTGCGTGTGTAGTGTGTTCTAGTATTGGCGCTCGCTGCTATGCCTGGAGCCGGGACTTTTAAGCTATTCATCGGAAATCTCGATGAGAAAACTCAGACATCTGAGTTACGGCCTCTATTTGAGAAATACGGTTCCGTGGTGGAATGCGATGTCGTTAAGAATTATGGATTCGTGCACATGGAGACGGAAGAGCAAGGCCGGGAAGCTATACAGAATCTCAACGGTTATATGTTGAATGGCAACGGTATTAAAGTGGAGGCGGCTAAAAGTCGTCGCGCACCAAATACGCCTACAACGAAGATATTTGTGGGTAATCTTACCGATAAGACACGTGCTCCCGAAGTACGCGAATTATTTCAGAAATACGGCACCGTTGTCGAATGTGATATTGTGCGCAATTATGGTTTCGTGCATCTCGACTGTATTGGTGATGTACAAGATTGCATTAAGGAACTCAACGGTCGTGTCGTAGATGGTCAACCGCTTAAGGTACAAGTATCGACAAGTCGTGTCCGTCCCAAACCGGGAATGGGCGATCCGGAGAAGTGTTATCGTTGCGGACGTCCCGGCCACTGGTCGAAAGAATGTCCGCGCTTATATGGCGGCAGTATCGGAGATCGTGGCATGGGTCCGCCGGGCGCTTACAGAGATCGTATGTACGGACGTGATCCTTATCCACCACCGCCACCACCACCACCGTTTTTACGCGATCGCATTATGGACGGCTTTAGGGTAAAATAAAACAAGAATATCAAAAACCATATAGTGATTCGAGCATAAAGTTCGGAGGAAAAAGCATCATTAGCGCTTACAGATAAATGGAGTCAGCTAAATTCCATTTAATAAATTGATGCATTTTTTCTGGACTTCGGTTTCGTTTAAGTTTGAAAATTTTTATTTCAATTTTTTTTTAATGTAAATTTTGCAGGATTACGATTACTATGATCGTAGGTTTGATGATACACGCGAATTATTTGAAAGGCGTTATCAGAGTTCGCGAATGCGCGATTTTCCGCCGCCACCATTATCCAGGCGTGAGCCCATGCCACTGCCACCGCCTTTAAGTAGCAGCTTACGAGGAGGAAGCCTAGCCAGAGGTTACGATAGTATGTTTAGTCGACGTTCACCGCCACCTCCTCGTAGCAGCAATGGTATGGGACGTTATGGGTAATTGTTAATATTAAAGAATTATACCAATAGCAATTACTACGTAAATTTATATTTACAGCTATGAAGATTTCAGTCGCGATTCATTTGACGATCGTATGATATCATCGCGCGGAATGCGGGGTCCTTCACCACCCGGCCGCCGTTATGCACCGTACTGAGATCAACTGTACGCCTCCCATAATAACTTGCGTCTTACATTTGCCACTAGAGTTGATGGTTACCGTCGTCGAGATCCACTCGATCGTTATGAGCATATCATAAATGATCATGCTAACGAGGAAGAAGAAGAAACTATCATTACCACTCAGTTGGAATGGCCTTCTTCTTCCATCCACAACACTAGATATAGACACAAGATTTAAATTGTAAAAGATCACAAACTTGAACACACACACACATACACTCACGTTTATATACAAAAACAGAGTCTTTTTTTTCCTTCTGCGAAAAGATTGCGACGACATATAATAATTTCTTTCTTCACCTTATATTCTTTCTATTATTGTACACTTTTTGAAATTTTTATTTTAATAGCTTTTTTGTGTCAAAAACTTTTGCAATCAATCATCTCCATAATTCTTTTAGTTTACTACTAAGTTATTATTAAGCCTTTCTCGTACACATCAATTTTCTTTATTATAATTGTTTACTGGCCTTTGCCTCAAAATTGTATACTCTTCTATATATATATTTATGTATATCATCAATGATACAATTAGTTGTCTTTAAACACAATTTTCGTTTTAAGAATTTACTCTCACATGTAAATAAACACCAATAAAATAGTCGTGACGAACAATTCATCTTTAAAAAACTTTCATTAATAATTGTTATTAGATTAGAATTTCAGATGCAAATGGACTCCAATAATGTGTCGACAATAAAATTCTTCAATTTTTTAATTCTAATTTTTAGTTTCTATTCTTTGATTATCTATCTATTCACTTAGCAATCGATTAAAACAGGTGTTCCTATAAGCACTGTACTGTGACGCCATCCTATAACATACACAAGAAGAAAACACCGAACAACGAAGTTATAATATTCGCCTGAATCTTGCAAAATCACTTTCTTAAATCGGCATATACAAGTGGCATTTTATTTGCTTAACTGGAAGAAAGTCAGACCACCGATTAAGGTAAATTACGACAATACTTAGGCCGCCTCCTGCTACAAATTGCATTTCTCCGCTTGTTAAACCGCCCTCAGCTAAGAATTTTCAACTTTCTTTCCGTGTGTTTGTAACGCTAAGATTTCAAAAAGCGGACCGAGATTGACTCGTTGGTCGTCCACGCGTAAGTTCTATCGCAACTTTTCCGTTTCACTTTGCAACTTTAAACTTAACTTTGTCGGTCAGTGTGAGCGATTTGTATCAAGTAATAAGTTCATTATGAGTTGTTAACATACGCAAAATTCATTTCGATACGAAAATATTGTTAAGCACACTCTTGAACGGTTGCGGCAAACTGAACACAATTCCCGCATATACACAATTAAATCTTTCCGAAATCTGTCTTTCGCTGAAAGAGAAATAAATGAAGAAGAAGTCTGTCTGGTGTACATTACATTGTATGCCTATCTTCTATATATGAAATATTATGAGGTACTAATTGGGAATGAGCAGATCTTTCTCAGAAAAAACACCATTCTCGGATATTTTCCAACCGCTATTGGGAATGCATTATCGTATTTGTTGTGGTTAAAGATTATTGACAATTACAAGCAAGGAAGGAAGATCTAGTAAAAACCCTATACATTAATTTTTATTGCAACATAGTTGTATATATAGCTATCATCTCAACTTTATTAGGTTCTTAAGCATAGGCAAAGTTACCAATAGCGAAAAGTTATACCAATCTTCCATCCTTTATTTTGATTCATTCATATTCTCCTTTAATAATAATAAAAGCGTTTTATTTCTAAAAAATATAGATTATTATGCTTTCTATGTCTCGTAAAAAAGTAATTAACAAAGAATTTTAAAAAAGGGGGCAAACTAATAATTTGGGGAAACTTCTCCTTGATAAACCAGAAAATTCTTCATTTTGGTAAGTTTTTGAATAAATAGTTTACCCATAACGGTCGGTGCGCTAAATGCTATTTGAGACATGGACATCTCCTCCCCAAATATTGTATTTATTTGTACTGCGCGTAATAGTTTCGAGGCAACGTGCATACGTCTATGTAAAGGTGAAACCCATATCCTGGAAACGCCACATCTGCAAAATTAAAAAAAAAACAAAAAAAAATGTTATTTTATGGTTTTCGACTTTTGCTTTTGCTTTTTTTTTTTTTTTTTTTTTTAACAATTACTTGACTTCGAACTCTTCTTCCGTACAATAGTCGGCACCATTCTCCTCGAGATATTTATTAGCTTTCTCTAAAGGATGAACCAAGCATAGGCCAACAATTTGCATTTTACGTACTGCCAAATAAGCGACAAATATTTTCGGTATATGGGAACCGAAACCAAGTTCCTTATCAACTATTTTTAAAACGTCCAGTAAACGTTCTTGACGTTTAGGCGGTGACATTTCAGTTAAACGCAAAATGCGGCCATCTGGACTCCATTCAGGAAATATGGCAACGGTATCTTCATCGATCCACCCTTTAAAACGCAATATATGCAATGAAGCATGAAATTCCCGATGCAATTTCTCCTCTTCAGGTTCATGCACGGTATACAATAAACCGCACTTTTGGCACTGAGTGACTCCAAACTGCTTTTGCCCAGCATCGATTTGATATTGATCCAAACCAAATCCAGCATTTAAAGTCTTGTGCTGTATTTTGGTACGAGTTGTGACAGGCAATTGTAAAGCTTTGGTGCCATTTGCTTTATAAAAAATGGGATATAGTTTTTGATCGGTTATCAAATTATTGTTCGTCAATGTCGAAGGCGTTGGAATTAATGCAGGTATAATCGGACTATTCATCGATGAAAGCGAGTTATTTATATTTTCCATCTCTGGACTGCTATTGGTGTTTTCTATTTCTTCCGGATTCTCTTCTAAGTTATTTACTGTTCCCATATATTTTATTAATATTTCGTCGGCCTCCCGTTTTCGTGTATCAAAGTTCCTTATAAATATATCGAAATTTTCTTCGGTGCATATATTGTTAACGATAAGAAAGTCGAGAAAACGTTGCTGTTGTGCGGCTAGAAAAGTATCATTTGTATTATATGGTATTCGTCGGCGAAATTCTTCTATTTGTTGTTCGTTAACAATCATAACCAATTCATCTACAATACGCTCAGCTTCTTCTTTATGATTGTCTGGATCGGCAATAAATATGGTGAAGTTCTCTTCATTGCATAGATTATTGGTAATAAGAAAATCCAATAGTAAATGCTGACGCTCGATTATTTCTGGATCAGTGGTATTAAAAGGCAAACGGTTTCGAAATTCCGCAAAATCATATGTTTGCAGTTTATATGCTTCATTGCTATCATCCTGATGTATTAAAGCTATTTGTTGATCATAATCCTCGATTATGGGTACAATATTTACATCTGCAATTGCATTCGCATTTTCTGGCGATGTTGTCTCATCGCGACACGTGCTATCATCAAGATTGCGCAATATAGCTTCTACGGTGGCTTGCTCATCTGAAAATTTGCATCTATCTTTATAAATAAACGTAAGGAAATATCATGTCAGATTTATTTAAAATTTTCTTTTCAAACTTATTAATTACCCGTTGTAGCATATTTTTTCTTGCGAGACTTTTTCATCCCATCTGCAACTATAACCAATTTTCCATTGGGTTCGACAGTGGCTTTGATATTCTCAGTTATTTGTACATGTTTTGGTAAGTGTGCTCGTCCAGATTTGAAGAATTTTCGTCTGCCCTCATTCGGCATCGAATTGCCGTCCATATGTGTTTGATGAAAATTGATTCCTGTTATCACTTGTGGCATATTCTCATTATTATGCGAAATGAATTGTGTTGTTTCGTCACTGTCATCGCTTTTTTCACTGTCTGAGAAATCGATGCTGGCTTCACTTTGATTTTGGGATTGCAGCTTATCTTTGGGAACAATCTCGTTATTATTACTGTCATCGTTGTGCGAGAGAGAGCTTAATGGCCGTGCCATTGCTATGGGATTTGTAGCCTGGCGGAGTATTTTGTGCACTTTTTCAATTTGTTGCTTCTCGGCGCGCTTATCAGCAATAAGTTTTCGTAACTTCTCATTACGTATGTTACCAAGTATATACTCTATATCCAAGGTATGACTACGACGTGCATCAGTAGCTATTTGGCGTGAAGGTTTGCGTATTTTATGATGAACACCTCGATTTTTTAGGGAAAGAGATGGAGTTCCAAAGCTACGACGTATATACTTCGATTTACTTTGCATAGATTTAACGATATTGTGAGAGATATTTCGTTTTCCCAAGTTGTCGTTTGGAGACATGTTTTTATTTGAATAAAACGATTTTGTTGAAATTGACACTCCGTCCACCGATGTGCATACTTTAGCTTGCTTACATTTAGGAATCAAATCGCTTTGGCTCATCTCTTCAATATGACGTTTCATAGATTGTTTTGCATTTTTACTTTCGCCTATAGGATATACCTCTGCATTGGGTACATTATCAGAGGTCGCTTCCATCATTAACTCTTTTGTTTTTTTCCTTGGCGTTAAACGCATTGAAACTGAAAATATTTGGTGCAGTTGCAGGGCTTCTTTCATTGGTATATTTTCCTTATGAACCGTAGAAGGACTTTTACTGGGTGATTTTCCTTTCTTGAGGCATAAACGAGAACTTCTACGACTAGGTGTTGGATTTATTTCTTCTGCCTCATCTAAATCATTGGCGAAGAAACTTATCACCTGCTTCTTGGAATCTCGATTTGACTTTATTAGTGCTTCAATAGTTTTACAGGTCTGAGGAATCTCATCATTACACTTTTCGTCTGCCATCAAAGGCTTTATTCCATTTAATAATTCGCCTTCATCATCATTTTCCTCATTGCTCAAATTAATAGTTTGCGTCGTCATAAATAATTTCTTTTTCCTTTCCGACAATCTCGGTGTATGAATACGCATGTTACGTATTTGATGTCTAGCACTTTTTGGGGTTTCCATCGTAATACAGCTCTGGAAACATACAAATATAATTTATTTTCATTTAAAACCTTTATAAAAATCTTATTCCATCACAAATAAAAAAAAAAAATAAGGAAAAAAATGATGAAAAAGACAACCGCTATCTTGGAGTTCTCATGTATTTAAGCGCGAAAAAGCATAAAGAAGGTAAACTTCATTAATTTTATTCATTTTATTCAGAGATGCCAAGATGCCTGTTCAGGTACTAGAAAAGCTTGTAAATGCATCAATTGCTACGCGTATCAACGCAGATGCAACTATATGAGGCAAGGGCCAAACAGTTTGTAAATATTACAAACTTTACAAATTTATATATATGTATATATATGGGTATATATAGACGTTTATAAACTAAATTGATCTCCCATTTTCTGAAAAATTTTTAATTTAAAGTCCTCTTCCTGCCCTTAGAGTATTAGCGAAGTTTCATTGTGTTAACCGCTTAAATTCGTACTTTTTGTAAAAAACTGTATTAGATTTAGACGAGGAAGAGGAAGAAAAAAGAAGAAGATAAGCAAAGATTTTCTGAGCGTACATTTCAATTAAATAACAAATCATATTATTATTAGTATTATTATTATTATAAATTTGACCGGATTTCGAATTTATTCGAAGACTAAAATCTTAAAGCACTAGCATCTGAGGCTTTCAGCATTTGAGAAACAAATCATAAATTTATATAATAATAATAATAATAATAAAAGCTTCCAAATAATTTTAAAATGATAATTTCTATTTTCTAAATATGAATTCTTTACATTTTATTGCAAAATTCTTGTATAATGAAGGCGGTATTTTTTCACTTCTATGTACAATGTATATACTTTTTATAAGTGAAATTGCATTTTATATATAACCGTTAGTTTGTATGTTGAATTCCCCAGTTTATAATTAAAGGTACGTAACATTTATGTTACACGATCTTATGCACGACTAACAATATACAATGAAGGCGCTGCATTCATTATTATAGTGATGACTACTGCATTTATTGCTAAGCTTTAGTGAAAATATAAATTTCTTGTTAGCACTTTCCAATCGATGTTACAAGCAACCATTTAACGAATTTCAAATACCATACGTGATTTACATGATTTAAAAAGTTTAAACAAATTGCATCCGATCAAATGATTATCTACTGATGATTTAATAATTATTTTTGCAATTTATGATTATTTTATACAAAAAAAAAAAATGTAAAAATTATTTTTACAAAGATTAACAAACCCGAAATAAGACTGAACATACTTGTGATAAAAATATTTACAGTGATCGGTAAGTAAAATGCATTCAATTAGTTGGTTCTTAAAATTGAAACGTTTTAGAGCAATAATAAAAAAGAAATCCATTTTTTGCTAATGTAAAAGAGAAATAAATATATACATATATATATATATATATATATATAAAATATATTTGCATATATATGTGACATATAAAAATTTGCAAAATAATATTTATAAAATTATGATTATTTTAGCGGTTGGAAGAAAATGTTTAATTGTCTGTTATCTAATTAGAAAATCAAAAATTTTTAAATAAATACTTGAAGGTCATGACTGTGCTACCTGCACATTTCAGATGCAATGTTAATCATTAAAAATTCATCGCAATTAGACAGTATTAGACAGTCAAGAATTCATTGTATTTTTTATATATTGATTGTCTTAATTTTTGTAACTATCAAATAACTGACGGGCACGGGATAAAGTAGTTCATTGCTCCATTGAATAAAAATAAAAATAACTTTTTAGAAATTCCACCACTCAGGCATCGCTACTAGACTTACGCAAATCTACTTTTTAATTTTCATTTATTTTTATAAAAACCAAAACATATGTTTACTATATATGTACACAATAAAATACATTTTCATATAATTTTTTGCAAATTTTTCAATTTTCTGCTCGTAGTTACCTGAAAAAAAAAAACAAAAAAAAATAAAATAAAATAAATTTATAAAAAAAAAATTGACAGCAAACAAAACACTTCTCTTGCACTGCTTTGAGTTTTCAATAAGAGAAAACACGAAAAAAAAAAAAAATTCTCGACAAATTGTAATTGTTTTGTTTGCCTCTGAAAGCAAACAGAGTGAGTGTGTGTGTGCGTGCGATTTTGAGAGTTAACTGCACAAGTTTATTAAGCTTTTTGCTTTAGTTTCGAAAATCTTCTCAAATCAAACTGGCGGTTGATAATTCCGGATTTTTCGAGATGATTAAATTTTTAGTAAGTGTTTAAACATATATAAAACAATTTCGGGGAAATTGCTTCCGCAAAACAAAACAAGTCATCGCCATACGTGTTTTTTACCCCCCTTTTTTTTTTTTTTATTTAATTGCGATTTTTGTAGCGTTTCGTAGCCTATATGTCACGAGTTTTGTCATTTTATTTATTTATTTTTTTTTTTTTTTTTATGTTTTTTATGTCTTTTTCATGGATTTCTTCTTTGTGTGCCTCTGTGCTCTCTTTTCATATTTCCTTTATTGTGAATTGCATTCTGTTTTCTTATGAATTTTTGTTAATTTTAATAGAAAAAAATCTATCGCTTTGTGGAAAAAAATTATATAATCTTTATGAATACACTTTTCAATAAATCCTGAAGATAGAGAGAGAGAGAGAGAGAGAGGGTCAGAAGAAGCATTCGGAAATGTTCCTCATGCATTTGTCGATAGTAGATAAGTATACAAATTTCGCATAGTCGAATGTAAAGTTAATTATGATAGTAACCGATGTATTGCTTTTTAAATGAATTTTTATCCTTCTCTAACAACAGGTGAAAAATTAATTTTGCCCATAAGATTAACCAAGGGATTATTTACATCCAAGCTATCCCTATTATAAAGTGCTTACTTGTGCCGTCTTGTCTGCAAATGTTAGAACCATTCTTTCGAAATGCTTCATATAACTTCCAGTAGCAAGGCGATATTTGGACAATAAGTCCTTGAAAGTTTCCATCCTTTATTATATATGTAACAAGAAGAGGTCTTAGAATATTGGCATTAGAGATAAGACTAGAGATCAGCTTTAGAAAATTCTAGGCGGACACTACCTAATGGCATAAGAGAATATTACTGTTGCAGTTATCCCAACGAGAGATCTAACATTAAATGTTACGCACGTTAACGAACGACTAATTTGTGTTTGGGCTAAGACGGTAGACTTGACTGCGAGAAATTATACCTTTCCCATCGTTTTCTTATAAATTGTGACTACTATGCGAAATACGCAGCAGACGTAGGCGCACGCCAGTTAACAGCTGAATAAATATGCCTGTTTACCTCTTGTTGAGGAGCACAGCATCACGTGTTTTATACCTTCATTATACTCCAATTCTTTTTATATTGACAATCTCAAAAATACGCATCGCTACTTTTCAAAATTTCATTTCGATTCGTACAGTTTTCGACGACACTAATTTGAAACTCAACGTGATTGAGGAATCGCAGATGACTTACAAAAAAAAAAACAAAAGAAAAGTTTTATAATGAATATATAAAACAAAAAGGCCAACCTCTCCCCCTCTTTTCATTATTTGAAACCATTAAAGTTATTATTGCGATTAAAAATTTTTTTCTAAAATTATTTTTTAGCTTACATTCGGTGTTGGTTTATACACCGGTATTTACGTTAGCCAAAACTATGAGGTAATACAACCAATGAATGCAAAGCATATGATGACGTTATAGATTTATTAAATGATAAATAATTTCTGATCGGTAATTTCAGATACCACGAGTAGACGAACCCAGCCGAATTGTTGAGAAGCTAAAAGATCTTATTGAAGAACATCGCAAAAAGTAATTAAAAAAAAAAAAATATTATAACAATTTAAGGAAACACAAGAAAAACATACACACACACTGTCTACCTATTTAAACACCTCTAAAAGCTATAGAGTAATAAAAAAAAAAAAACAAAAAAAATTTTAATCTTAAGTATGTATTTAGTTCTTAAGTCAAACCAATGAAGAAAAAAAAAAAAAAAAAAAAAAACCAATACATTTATTATAAATTTTTGACTGCATTGTTGTGAGTTTTCGTTTTTAATTAATTTATTTGATTGATTGTTAAAGTTTGGATGAAATGGCCAAAGAAGTCACAAATGTACGCAAGAAACGATAACTGAGAAGCATTTTCAAAATAAGAATTTCCGTGAACCTGTTAATCTAGAATCTTTTCAAAATTTCAACATATTCCAAATAAAAGTTACGCGGAAACTTTTAACATAGCCATCTGAAAATTTCTTCTTTAAAATTTATTAAAAAATTCTCTGTATTATATGAAAATTCGAAATATATGCAACGGATAAAATGAAAAATTAATTCAAAGTTAAAGGACAAAATGCGTCAATATTCTTTTTATTCGTTTTGAAAAAAAGTATAAAGTAATTATTTTGATATTTTGCATTAAAAGATAAATCGAATTTTGATTTTTTGTGTGCTCATCAATATGCACAGTGTTTAAATTTTAAAATGCGATTAGGAGGAAAGAGCTCACCATATACTTACAGTAACTACTATTATTTCGAGATTTATGATCTTATCGCTCTGATAATATTTTGTTTCATTTTTGGGCAGCTTTTTTGAATCAACCAACACTGACATGGATCGCCTTTGCTCATCATTTACTGATCGCTATTTTCGATAATTTCTAATCTTGTTTTTTTGTTTTTTTTTTTTTTCTTTCAGTAGAAATGCCGCCGAACAACTATTGCACGATGTAAAGAAAGAAGCCAAAAAAATTATTGATTAAAACTCCTAAGAAGAATAACAATCATAACAATTTATTTATATTACAATTTATTACTCGATTTATTTATTTTCAATTATCTCAATTGTTTCTTATATAGGGGTAAACATTTAATTTTGTTGCAGCAATTACTAATTAGTTAATTTTCATGATTTTTTAATAAAAAAATTTACAATTTTCAATAAAATATTTGACTATAAAAATCTCCTTGTTTTAACATTTTTCCTAAATAAATGAGATTCCACCGCCATAATATTCAATTCTGATTTGAGGCTCTATAAATGCTAACCAATCTGATGCGTGTGTCGGCAGTAAGCCCATACTATGACATTTATAAAGAGCAATAGCAACGTTGGACAGATTGCCAAGAAAATAAATTAATTTTTGCCCAGTACCTTGAGCACCATTTGCCATTTTTGAAGTCACTTGGGTGGAGAACATTGCTTTAATCGGTCGTATTAACATCATACCAATCATCATAATGGGAAATATAGATATTGAATTGCCTGACATGTACATAATAAAAGCATTCATCGGTATCTAAAGATATAAGAAATTAAATAAAAAAAAATATATATATATTTCCGCGAAAAAAACCAATGTTATAAATACCTGCTTCAGGGGTCCCAGAGCTAGATCCCAAGATCGTTTAAATATTAAACGTTGATCCTTAACTACTTCAGTTTGGTTTATTAAAACAGTGGGATTGTAAGCTGGTGGAGCAGGCAAATCCGACGATTTGCTTCAATGTATAAAAAAAAATAATTACAAAATTTTCTTTATGTTTGATGAAAATATGCACTTACTTGGTATTAAAGTCCAGAGACCATTTACATTTTCTTGCAATTTGTTTAGAGGACATTATTATTCTTGTTATTCTTATATTTTTCTAGATATAAATAAATCTGTAATTTTTTTCTACAGCAATTAATTTATCAATACATGAATTTCCAACGATGCATAATCAATTTTTAGAAATGTTATACGATATTTTACAACGCTTCATATTTAGTTTTTGGTATAGTTAAAAGGTCTTTTAATTTTTAGGAATACATATGCGGAGATAATTGAATGACAAGATGTCCCAAGATTTTCTACAAATTCAATTTGAAAAAACAAGTAAAATCTTACAGACCTTTTGCGTTCCTGTTATCAATAACAATAGTAACGATGTTACTCTGGCAGAAGTGTTCGGCCTTCTTTGGTGCACTGAAATAAAGCTATCAAAATTTTTAAATTAAAGGTAAAAAACAAGAAACTAAATATATCTAATCTTCGTAACACGCTAAAGAGTATAAAAATAACGTTCCACTTGAAATGCGGAACTTTGCGAACAACTTGTATGTCAAGTTTTAAATTTATATTTCAATTATTGTAACTTGAAGATTTTTTGTCGCAAATGGGCCGACTGTCTGGCGGATATGATTAGATCGAACCCGAATTTCAGGTGTGTAGATAAGTAAACAAAGAAATCAGTTTTGCTGATGGAATTGTCCTGCTTTTCTCCTGCGGAACTTTCACGTAGCCCTGAAACGTATTTGCATGAGCTCTACATAAATATTTATATCGGCAATCTAGGTCCAGAAAAAGTTTGCTTTTGTAATGTATTGGTTTACCAACGATCACACCACCAGTGTTTCACAAGGCACACAACAATGTAATCGTGAGAAATGCTGACACTACACATTTTACATGTTGTGCACTGTACAGCTTAAGTAGGTTAAGTTGTAACCCGAGAATTTCATATAGATTCTCAATAATATTATTATTGAAATGAAGCGGAATTATGTTATTAAACAAATGAATAAAGCTAAACACTATATGGCGATCTTGCCACTTCGTGTTCTAAAAAATGTATGTCTCTGCAGAAACACGGCGAATTGATAAAATTTTGCATTCATGTAAAAAGTAAGTTTAATTTAATTTCTAACACTGGCAAGGATACGCAACGTGCTAAAAATCACAACTTACCATTTAATGATCCTCCCGCACTATCACAACATAGATATCATTTTTTTTTTTTTTTTTTTTGAAGACGTTATTGTAATTTACAAGAGCCACAACGACAATAAATGATGGCACTATTAGTTTGACACAGTTTGAAAAAAATTGCAACATAAGCATTAGTTACATCTGTAAGATCAGTAAGAATAACAGCATGATATGGTAACTTCCGCAGTAGCATGATACATGCAGAAGTATATTGAATTGAAATATTTATTTATATATTTATTTATTTTTTGATTAGTTCTTTGTCGGAAATTTCTGGCTAGATGTGGTCATCGGCTAGATATATATGTTTACTGAAGGATGCATCAATAAAACCCATGAGAATTCGATTAGATCGGGGATATGATTTTATGATCGTATATATTAGGAGAAAAGAAGATCATAGCACGTATACCTAACTTGGCAATAAATTGCTAAGACAATTAAACATTACAAATGTACCCGCACTAATACGAGTACGACATATCGAATCTCGAAGAATTGGGATAATGAGATAGCACCGTGATTGTGGCCATCCTAGTCTAAGTCATACACTTCTTCTTTCGACATATTTAATGGATTGCATTTGAATAAATTCAATAATATTTTTATATTATTTTTTCTTGGTCTAGTTAATTAGTGAAGATTTATTATGAGAATGCAACTTTGTGTGCATTTCATAGAAAAATTGTTTTATATTTAAAATTTAAATTGACTTTGACTATTTTTCAAATTAAGTGAACGTCCTGTAAATGACTTAATGGAGTAAAAAATTATTAGTGTTATTAGAAACAATAATTTTAATGAAAAAATGCACAAATATTTATTAATTATTTTTAAGAAGTAAGTAATCAAATTTTATCACTTTAGGCTTTTATCATTACGAGTTGTTAAGATTGTTCAAATGTTCCATGTATATGATTGTAAATACACATAATATCTTTATATTTTTCTCCGACTACTGGTCTAGCGGAGGTAGTGTATAATGCAAGTGATTTAATATTCGTCTTCAAAATGGAAAATTTTTATTTTCATTTCTATCAATCCAAAATCACGATCATTCGGTTAAAAGGAATGACCAAATATCAGTAGTTATATCCTCATAATGCTACTATCTGTGCACCTCTTGAAGCCTATAGTTTCGTCTCATACGTCATCATGGAAATTATGGAAAACCAGGTTGTATACGTACATAATTCGTATATATGAAACTCTAACGAAACACAAAATTTTTGATAACGGGAATGCTTTCAATGCAAATCATTATTGGCAAAACTGGTTTTGACTTTGGCACTTTTCTAGTCCTCGGTAAGATAATTCTCGCTAGCTCGTTCGGCATTTTGCAAATGTAAATCATAATTTGATCTCAGATGTAATTTCTCTTCCTCATTACTGCCTGATTCGATTTTTCGCTTTAGTAAATCAAGGTCATGTGCAATGCTTATGTGGCATTATTGCTTAATCGTATTCTACTTACTTATCAATCGCTTAAGCTATATGTTTGCATTTTCTTATATTTCTGCACAATGTAAATTTAGCTATAACCTAGTTAAGATAACCTACTTTGGTTATAATCCACATTAAATGTAGTACCCTAGTTAAGATAACTTACATTTATGAAACTTTAGTACTAACCTATTTTAAAAATCTAATTTTACTATTCTGCTTAAGCTAATACTTAAGTGCAAGCAAAGTGACCACAGTTCAGTTCATAGAGATATATATTATATAGGATTCCATTCAGCAACTCAACAAACCGGAATTTTTATTGTGCTTCAATGCAATAATTTTTTTAAATTTTTTGACTTAGACCATTTTCATAATTACCAGTAAAAGAATTGCATATAATGTTATATACAACCATTGTCATCTAATGGTTCATTTTCGACGATATTTAAATTAATTTAATTTAAAATAATTTGATGTGAAATAATTTTTTTTTTTTTTTTTTAATTTTGACTTAGAGTAGTTTCACTTTCATTATGGGCACATATGAACTCGCCATGCAAAAGCGAAAAAAAGCAACAACAAAAAAAAACTCGCTATGCCAAACGACGCGAAATACTTGATAAACTCGTTCCGAAGCGATCCCATGACTTTAACAGTAACAGGCTCCGCGCTGAAGTAGGAGACTTAGCGATGATTTGAGGACAACGCAAATTAGATAATAATTACTCAGGATCATTCGAGGTAACAAGTATGGACAAGTACTCAATAACACAAGAATCAATGACTATACATAAAAATAGGGGATATATATATATATATTTTTTTTTTTAATATAAGCGAATCCGATCAGATCCCAATTTTATAAGATACAATGACAGACAAACGGAACTATCACATTAAGTTTAATAAATATCTTATAATTATCATTCAATTTCTTTTAATATCAATAATAATTCATATAGAAACTGTACTATCCATAAGTTTTTACCTATATAGCCATAAACTTTTAATTTTTGAAAATACAACACAATAAGAACAATTAATGAACGACGATTACGCCACCAGTGTGCCAAGAATGTAATCGTGAGAAATGCTGACACTGCACATTGTACGTGGTGTGCACAGCACAACACGAGTAGGTTAACTTATAGCCTAAGCATTTTATATGGACTCAGAATAACATTAACATTGAAACTAAGCGGAATTGTTTTATTAAACAAATAAATATAGATAAATACAACACTTTAATCACGAATACGTACTTGCCTTATGGTACCTTCGCCACGTAGTGCAAGTACAAGTGCAAATACAGATTTAATATATCCGAACTCTTGCAAAGCAGGTATAAAAATAAACGCACTTACCTATGAAAGTTGCAGTGACCTGAACACAGGCGACAAGCAAAAATTTCCAAAAACCATTGATTTCTTCCTCTTTCTTTCTGTCCAATTTGTTAAACATGTGCACAATCGATAGCTAGAGGAAAACTATATACATATGCACATATATATATATATTAGGTATTTGTACACTTTTTGGTTGACGTACAAATGATAAAGAAATGGGGGAAGACCAGTGTACATAACGTTTGAATTCGATGGTTTTGACCTTCCTCCTTCAAACGTTCCTTTATTCAGAGTACGCCTTCGCTAATCATGGCGCTTTCCAAATTCATTACATTTGTTATTTATTTAAAGAAATCGATTCTGTGGTCTTCGGCAACAGAAGAATGCCACTTGTTGCACGTCGAAAGGGGAGTTCTGCCACACCCAACATACTCACCAGACATGACAACTCCTGACTACCAGCATGGTTTGACTGTTGCACAAAGCTGTAGAAATGAGAACATGGTCCGGTGGGTAGATTCCTGCTAAACCAATACAAGTTCTTTTGATATGATATCGCCATGTTGTAGAAAATAATGGAAACTATTTTCACTAATGTATATCAAAACTTTTGAAAACATCAAACCTATAAACATATAGAGCCGAGCACGATGAATGAATTTTGCATCATGCATCGTGCATCATTCATCATGCGGTCGTCTTTGTATTGACTTGAACAATCAGATTCCTACTAGTGTCGAAGCTTTAAACTACGACTTTTGAAAGCATTACTTACAACAAATCATGCAATGCCGCCTAATTTAAGGGAGAAAACGAATTAATCCACATTATGTATTATTCAATATATCGCATATGAACAAGCATTTACTTTACTGGGGAAAGAGATGTTACTTTTAAAAAACATGCAAAAAAAAAAAAACAACAATCTTACTCTATATAAAGGATACAAGATTCGCCCAAAGGTGAATAGAAGTCGCTTAGTTATTGCTTTTTTTTTTTTTTCATGTTAATTTTACCATACTTTTATTCATAAATATTCTATACAAATGTAAACGAAGAAAAAGAAAAACTGAAAGGCTACCGCAAAGAAACTAAAAAAAAAAAAAGTAAAAAAAAAATAAATAAATAAATAAATACGTAAATGAATATATATAAAAAAAAATGCATAAAAAATTAATCTAAAAATGAAAACAATGATGAGATGATTTAGTAGACGAGATAGTTCCTCTCTTTTTACGATATTTCTGTTTAGTGTATTTGTTGTTCTTTATTCCATATTTATAATAAATATATTTAATATATATTTTCCCATATATGTAAAGTATTTGGATTCAAATAGTTGTTGCTATTGTCGATTGAAAATGTGTTGTTTATGGAAATGTTTTTTTTTTTTTTTTATTTATTTATTTATTTATTTTTTTTTTTATTTTGCGTTTTTTTAAAGTTATTATGAGTGCGAGTGTATCTCCCTCCCTCTGTCGGCCAAGAAAAAAAACAAAAACAGCGCAAACACAAACACAATGCGCTTTGAAACGTGAAAAAGACGTCACTAAGAGATTGCAAAAAAAATAAAAGAAAAGAAAAATAAATAAAGAAATAATAATAATAATAATAATAAGCACTGCTATTACAATATATTTAATTAAAACAAGGGAGAATAATCGCAAATACACAAAGTTAGAAGAAGAAGAAGAAAAAAAAAAAGGAGAAAGTAGCAAAAAAGAAGAATCATATTTCGAAAGTTGTTGTTTTTCTTTAACTCCGTATTTTCTTTTTTCTTTTTTTTTATATATATATATATATATAGCAATTAATATGTTTTCCTTTTTATTATATGTATTATTATTATTACTCTTCTTTAACATACGTATATGTTTTTGGGTTTTTCAATAAAAATCCTTACATCTTTTGTTTTGTTTTTTTTTCTTTCATTTTTTTTTTTTTTTTGCTTTGTTCTACTTTCCGAGTGTAAAGTTTTTTCCTTGAATGATGCTGTTGTTGTTGTTGTTTTTTTATTTTTTTTAATTTTTTAGCCCAAAAATTCGCATGTTCTCAACTCTCGCAATTAATTTCCGTTTAAGTTTTATTAGCTTTATTTTTCTCTCGGCTTTCTTTACTGGTGTTTTTCAATTTAAATATTATGTTAATAAATCAAAATTGTTTGTTTTGTCTGTATGTTAGTCATTATAATGTATTATTTTTTTGTGTTTGTTGTTGTTGTTGTTGTTGTTGTTGTTACTACTGCTGCTGTTGATACGGCCGCTAATGCTAATTAAGATACAGAATATTTTTCTTTTAACGGTTAGCATTTTTAAGTTGATTGGATAACCAATCGAGCCCCTCATAAAGACCGTCACCGCTAGTTGCACACGTCGCCTGTATATACCAATTGCGGTTTCTGAGTGAATGTAAACCGAGTTTATCGGTAATTTCAGCCGCGTTCATTGCATTTGGCAGATCCTGAAAAAAAAACGTTAAAAAAAATAAATAAAAAATACATACATATATATTATATTTCTATATCTATTCCATATTTAATCTACACTTTTATATTTATATGGAACTAGATCTAAATCTTGCTTTATGTTTATTATGTTGTGCGCTATTATATGAATAGGAATAAATAGAAATTTCCTTAAGATTGTAGTAGTGTACGTAACTGTAAGTTGTATCATTTACTCTACACGAAGACCGAGAATTAAATCCTGAATTAACATTATTATATGAAAATCTTATTTGTCACCTGTGCATAATTCAAAAGAAGAAGGTATAAGTAGGAGGAGGAGGAGATTCGCTGCACTAGCAACGAGAGATCACCTAAGAGATCACCTACAGATGTTGAAAAAAATTCCGTTTTCCTTTCTTTAGAATGCAATTCCTTTGCACATTGTTGATAGGGTGCTCGGTAGTTACCTATAAAGTACGGCTATTGTATAATTCAACATCATAATGTATGCTAGAAACAATGGACACATTTTTTACTGCAAGAGGACAATCGAAGAATGCGGTTGTTGTTATGTTCATATTTGAATTCGATATCAATCTAAACCGTAGTATTAGGGATTTTTTTGCGACCATACATAAATGAAATGCAAAGTTACTACCAATTGATAAATGATTTCTAAGCTTTGTTGAAAACCATAATCCATTTTTGCCACCAGGAGTGCGCTAATCACACGGACAGACACGGGTAAATCAACTCAGAATTTCACGCTAATCAAGAATATATATATATACACTTGATAGGGTTCCTGAAACATCCTATGGATGGGTTACATACATTACGAAAAAAAAAAAAAAAAAAAAAACAAAATTAATATACCCCTATCGTACAGTGATGGGTATAAAAATGAAAGTCGCTATTAAGAAATGTGCCCAAGCCGAATATTATATTTATTTTGTAATTTTTATTATTAAAAAAAAATTTTTTTTTGGCATGAAAAGAATCGTAAACCAAGAAACAAGGAATGGCATAAGGAATTTTTAAACAGAATGATTAAAATACGTTTGTTTAATTATTTACATTTTTATAAAGTGGTTTGAAAGAACTTATCCTCTCCAATGCACAACTGGGCAATTAAAAACGATAGCATATCGTAACGTTCGTTACATGTGATCAAAGCGCTCCCATATCCCCTTTGCAATTTTTAAATGTTTGGTAAAATATTATTGCATCATGTTCTTTACGCCTTAATGGAGATATATTCTTACTCATCAAAACGTTCAACAAGTACACGTTTACGTTCAACAACATGAGTTTCGAACACTTTCCAAAACTAAAAAGTTAAAACTTACTGCTTCTTTTTGTTTTCAACGCATAATAAGAATTGGTACACTTGTTTACTTAATTAACGTACTATATGAAAATATGATTAGGGCTTAACAAATGCAATAGTTAAGTATGCATCGCAACGTTTTCTCCAATTTTCTCATTTCAACGTGTTCTCAATTAACACATATACGCATTTGTGTCGAAATGAAAAAGCTAAACAATAAGATAAGACGCGGTGTTTACCTACCCTAATCCTTTTTTTTTCTTTTTTGGTAACTACCAGCGAAGGATGACGGTATATGTATTTGTGAAAATGTTTGCAACAGTTAGAAGCAAACGTCCCGGTGTCCCGTCCCGTAAAGTAAATACATCTTGATTAGCATGAAATTTTGAAACAAAGAATGAAGAATGTCCACGTGTACAACGCCATTACCGAATACCGAAAAGCCGCCTAACCCCACACAAATTACGATATCAGCCACATTTTTTCCCTGGAAGCTCTTACACGAAATTCGGTATTGAAATTGGTTCAATATCGATGAAGCAAAAATGCCGGCTTTTTTGCTCATTACTTATATATATTACAAGACACACAACGATACAAATTTTTTTCAACCTGTATACAAACAAGCAGAAAAACCGGCCTGACTTAGCCAACATTTTTTTTTTTTTTTTTAAAAGCTTATTAAGAACAAAGGTCAGTACAAAATATTCGGCCATAGCCGAATATAATTTTCTTGCTTGTGGTTATCACTCTATGTTTATTATATTCGAACTAGAAGGAGGCAATCCGTATTGTCAAGTATTAATACGCCCAACATAATCCGTATTAATACGGTGAACACAATGCATGAAAAAAAAAAGAGTGTGAAGCAACGTGCCGTAAACATGGATTGCTATGATATATATTTACGTTGCTTTCCAAAGTGAGCATTGCTTGACCCCTTTTCACGGCATAGTATAATCTCAAAATTTATAATATTTTTGGCAAATAATTTTACCTGTTTGTTAGCGAATATTAGTAGAACAGCATCTCTGAGCTCATCCTCAGCCAACATACGCATTAATTCTTCTCTCGCTTCGCCGATACGTTCTCTGTCATTGCTGTCAACGACAAAAATGAGACCCTATAAAAAATTAATATTAACATTATTAATTTCATTTATTTTTTTTAAATGAAAAATCAAACACGCTTACTTGTGTATTTTGGAAGTAATGCCTCCATAATGGACGAATTTTATCTTGACCGCCCACATCCCATACTGTAAAGCTAATATTCTTGTATTCTACAGTCTCCACATTGAAACCTAAAGGTATTATTAAGTTTATTTTATAATAGCAACCACACACACCCATACGCATATCTGATATATATATATATATATATATATATATATATATATATATTTATATGTTAATATATACATATATGTATGTGTACTCACCAATGGTAGGTATCGTTGTTACAATTTCGCCTAATTTAAGTTTGTACAAAATTGTGGTTTTACCAGCGGCGTCCAAACCGACCATTAATATTCTCATTTCCTTTTTACCAAAGAGACCTTTGAATAAATTAGCGAAAACATTCCCCATTTTTGTTGTTGTTTGTCTATCTCGGCAAATTAATAGTCCGTATGCCTGTTCACTATTTGTATAACGCTACAGTTGGGAGGAAATTTCTCTATCTCTTTCTGTTTTTATTTTTATTATTATTATTATTTATTTATTTTTTTTTTTTTTCTATTTTATAAAAATGTAATTATGGAATTTTTAGGTTAAGAACTGGATTTTTATTGTTTTCTTTATCTCCTCTATGCGAGTGTCACGCTCATTCACAATTAGCTCCACTCGGCTATTAAGAATATATCTGAAAATGAGGTTCAAACAAAACACTATTTATAAAAAATTATAAAAAGGTATATAAAAAAGAAAAAAAAAATTTTTTTTGCATTCAAAACAAGAGGAAGGAATTATTTTTATTACGATCGAATTTTTTACAAAAGGTCTTTCTATATATATGAAGATTGAGAAGAAGTTTCAAATTCTTAATTGACTACGAATCGCATTCAACGCCAACAACGTGTGGATATAACTTCATATTGATCAGATCTTTTTCAAAATATTTTATGTATAAATTTATTTGTAGACACAATAATTACAATCTAGATTATGCAGCATTAGAATACCATTTATTCAAGTTCGCATTAAGTGGGCATGACACAGAGCACTGTCATACCTTACATCGTTAGTCGCACGCAATCGCACTATAAGCCGTAATTTTTAAGATAATTTTTAGAAAATTTCGGCAGGATTTTTACAATCATTCCACGCCTCACGTAACGCCTTATTTTCAAAAAGGAGCACTGCTTGAAGAAAACTGCTCTTTGCTGTTTTAGATAACCTCAAGTCGTGAGCCCGCCCGTCATATTCGTCAAACACAATGATTATCAATCTTTTATCGATCGTTTATAAGATTTTAAGGACTCTTGTGAAAGTTGCTCCCAAGCGATAAATGCCCGATTAAGTATCTTTAAATGGGATTCTGTTAAGAGCAATGCGTAAAAATTCTTCAGAACATATGTAACGGTTCGCGATGAATAATTAAAGTTTTCCATGTATAGACAAACTTCTTTGATTTACAAACCATATTATAACTGAATGATTTGTTTCAAATCTTCACCAATCGCTGAATCATCCCTAACCCCCGCACAGAGATCACAAAAAGAAATTGTGCGCTTAGATGAGAAATGTTAGTACTTTCCTAAAACAATGTGCTTTAAATCGATGCAATCGCTCAGTGGTATTGTAGAGATCACTGGGCCCCCAAAAATTTGCGTTTTAAGCTATCGCAGTCAATTTTTACGATATCCATCCCGGATGCTTTTGAAATTCGATCTCCTTTGGTTAACGCAAATCTTTTTGGAAATCTATCGGAAAGTGCAGATATAGAACGAGTATCATGTTTTTACACTGAAGATCATGGCGCGTATGGGATAACATTTAAGCGAGAAGAGGTAAAAGATTTATGGGGAGAATCGCATGTTGATGATCTGGATGACAATGAACTAAAAGTTGAAGATAACGCAGCTTGATCTTCAAACTGTCAGACTACGTTTTTCACGACCAGATTATCAAGCCATTTATTTACAACGAAATAAGATACAACTGGGTCAACAATTCTCGAAATTGAAAGTTTCTACAACTGTGGGCATTGGCATGCGATGATAAGGCTGCTATCGTAAAAACCAACTTATTAAAAAACTTCGTCAAGGCATGTTGGTCAAACACTTTCTTGAGTCGTTTTTATTTTTTCCGTTCGGCAGACACCCCACAATACAAAGTCACAAGTTAGTCAAAAAAACCTTAAATTCCCTTTTCTTTGTTCATTTCTCTACTCTCATGAGGTCTTGAATACATCCCTATATATGTATATAACAAGTGTAATGAAAAATTTAATATGCCCTCGTGCTGTTGACTATATTAAGTAGGTTCTCGTACCAAATATGAAAACGCAAAACAATTATAAAGTGGCGCCCAATAGACTTTAATGTTATTACAATATATGTTAACATAATGGAAAGATAGCGCAATTCAGTGCAGACAGGCAAACAAAAAGCAACCCTATAAAAGTCATACAGTATGTATGTAGCTCAAGAATATCGACGATGAAATAATGAATTGTGGAAATTTTTTTTATTAGAACAGATTAAAAATGTAAAGTCAATTTAAGGTTGACTGGCAAGATTATCGATTTTTGCGTTTAGAAAGTTTAATTGGTTCACACGTCGGAAAAACTGTTTCGGCCTAAGATAAATAAGACAGTGACGTTGATATTTAAAAGGCAAACTTTCGAATAATAAAAAGTCCGAGAGGGAAGTGCTGAGGGAGCAAAAGTAAAGGAGAAAATTGTATATATATAACGATTTTAAAAGCAAGTACACAATGAGTCAGCGCACAAATGGTTGCAAAAGACAAATTAATAATACATTTTTCCCCGATTTCCTGAAAGATTGAATTGGTTTCAATAAAGCAAAACAAAAATAAGAAAATGAAGCCCGATTTGCTCGCTTAACTCACAAGTAAGCGTTTATAAAAATTACGTCCCCGGTGCCTAATTAACTATACAAACCGTTTAAAGTTTTATTTACAACAAATACACTATGTAATTTAATTTACCGTTCTTTTGTGACAATTTTTGCACGAATAATTTGAGAGCTTGAGAAGTTTTTTTTAATTTTTCTTTGAAGACTGTTCTTTTTTTTTTGCCAACAGTACCACCCTACGTCACACGAACGCGAAGAAAGACACTCTGTTGGCCGTGGTGAATAACTGTACAACGCTATTCACGATACAAAAGAAAAGGAAACAACAAATGAATAGTTTTTTCCACCATATTTATGATGACGGCGATGAAAACTTTCAGCTTGAGGTGAATTTTTTCTCAAGTCTTTTATTTAATAAGGAGTAAATACAATTTGGATTTTTCCTTTTTGCTTCAATCACGATTTAAAGATAGATTTCTCTCATACGTTAAAATTTTCTTTTATACTTTTGCAGTGCCAAGTAAATCTTTTCAAAACAACTCTTCCTCAAAATTTTTTACTTAGTTATCTTATTTATTCATCTATGTATTTTTTCTAATTACTTTCTTCTACTCGTCTCTTCCAAATAATTCGCTTTAATTATTTTCCACAATCAAGAAACACACAATAATGAACCATAATGACGAATAATTAAAGGCAGGTGTAGAATGACAGAGCATTGCCATTATGAAATAAAATGAATAATAAACTGAAGCTTCTATTGGTATATGTGTACAAAAAATGAAATTGAATTTATATATTAACCAAAAAATTAGGTAGGCTTGTTTATTTCTTTAATTTATTGGAATTTCACATATGGCAATATTAGCATTCATCTATTTTTCTTTAATTCTTGCTATTATAGAGGGAGACAATGGTGGGAAAAAAATCTCTTTATAAAAACTAAATACGCAGGCACCATAAAGTTGAAGACAAATGTGTTATCTTCAAAAGAGCAATGGATTGTTTAGTTTACCATTAATGTAACAAAAATAAATAAAATTACATCATTTAATACGCACCAATTTACTAAGATAGAATTCACAAAAACTCATGCAGGAACTCTACAGGAATTCACACGCAACCATAAAAAAATTGTCTATATTAAAAAAAAAGTTATATATTTAGGCTTATGCCGTGACATTAAACCAACACACTGCTAAACAGAGATGAAACTATACAGCAATGATTTAAAATAAACTTTAAAAAGATGCCACGTCGCGTTCAAAGCTAGAAGATAAAACGAGACATTTGTACAATTTGCTTAGCACAATTGCCACATTTATGTTTCAGTTTAAGCAAAAGAATAAGCATCGGTTTCGTGGTGAATATGTTAGTAAAAAATATGGCGTCCGTAAAGAAAAATTAATGTGAAATTTTTTCTCTACACATAAACCCACAACACACACAAATCACTTAAAATATGTTTTACTTGAAATCACCTTTATTTCACTGTCCACTTGTTGAACTACAATTGAGTAAACGGAATGTAAGTAATTAACGTTTTAATCAAGAGCAAATAAATAATTTTGCAATTGTTACAATTTTATAAACAGTGTTGTTAATAGTTAATGAAAATGAAAATTTTCCGCAAAACTATGCGCAGAACACACAACGATAATAGGTGAGAAAACGTTGGAAAGAACGTCAATGTTTGCTTAACATTCACAATAAACAATTCGGCTAGTTTGTAACTTAAGAAAATCAAGTGCAACTGTGTAAAAATGTTGATGTGAGCAGAGTTGCCAAGAGTTGAGAAATAAGCCAAAAAAGTACTTAATATTGTTATTTCTAACTATTTTTCAGTTTGATCTTACCTGGCTATGCACGGCTCCTTCAATTACTACTTACCGTGTTAATCTTTTACAAACTACAACTGAATGCTATAAGGATTATGTTGAAAATTTACTAAAAGGACGTTATAAAAGCTCCCCTAAAATTTATACTTTGAGTGATTTACCGGAAGTATTGTGCATAGGAAGTGTATCAACACCGGAAACGCTCAAACCGAGTATGATAGAACAGAGGGAAATCATAGTCGACGATTGTTGCGGTGCTGCTGTACTGAGGGGTGCTCATATTTATGCAGTGGGTGTACTGGCTATGGAGTCTGGCACTAAACTCCACGATATTGTCAATGTTTATGCCGATCTTACAGGGAAATGTAAAAAAGGTACAAATATACGTTTTGAATCTGATAAAAAGTTGTACCTCGGCCAGGGACGAGTTTTAATGCAACGTTATCAATTATTTGGTGCTTCAGGTGCTAAAACAGGTATAGCTGTTGAAATGTTAAACACCGTATCAAGTGTACCTTCAATTGGAGATTTAAGTAGCGCCAAAGCTTTATTACAAAACTTACCCTCCATTGTTTGCGTTAGGGTATTAAATCCACAAAAAAATGAAATAATCTTAGACATGTGTGCGGCTCCCGGTAACAAAACAACACATATAGCGGAATTAATGGAAGACAAGGGTGTAATACTAGCTTTAGATAAAACGGTAAATAGAATCGCTTTAATAGAGGAAAAAATCAAAAAATATAATCTCAATTCCATCAATGTTTATGCTTATGACGCCACCAAATCCTTTAATGGAAAATTAAATAGCGAATCGTCAAATGAAATAAAACCGCCATTTAAAGCAGAAACGTTTGATCGTGTATTATTAGATGCTCCTTGTAGCGGCTTAGGTAATCGACCTATATTGGTAGTGAAAACAACGGCAAAAATGTTAGACTCGTATCCGAAAATACAACGTAAATTAGTAAGCAACGCTGTGGCGTTGTTAAAACCGGGAGGTTGCTTAGTATATAGCACCTGTTCTATAAACACATCAGAAAATGAAGAAATCGTAGCTTGGGCGTTGGCAAAACACTCTAATTTAGAGTTAAAAGAAGCTGTTCCAATTTTTGGTTCGAGAGCATTGCCATGTCAAGGATTAACCGAAAGACAAAGGGATATGCTGCAACGTTTTTCTCCTGATACCAAAAAATTTGATACTGTAGGTTTTTTTATAGCTAAGTTCGTGAAGAAGCCTATATGAAACTCAGACAACACTTTTATGTATAATTTAATACCTTCGTGAATAGCCTATGTCATTTTTAAATGCAAATAGGTTTAATTGTTATATAAAAATTCGTCTCCATCTATTTTATTCATTTACGCGCGACCCGTAAGTGACGATATCATTAAATGGTTTAGAACTTTCAATAAGTGCGGCCTATATCCTAAAATTCAACATAGGAAATTTTCATAAATAAAAATTCAATCTTATCAGGAAGGTTCAATAAACTTTACTTATTGTTTGGATCTCTACACTTAATTAAGTTATAATAAGAAACATTTTATATTAATTATTTTACGTATAATATTTTAACATCTATAGAATAAAGGGGAAATTTTATTAATTACATTTTGAGCGCATTGTTAATGAACAAATTTTTACCCACGAACCGGATATCCAGAAAGTTGTATATAGACAGCAAGATGGAACATTACACAGAATGACTCAATCCTGGATTTTCGTTTGAGTAGACCACTACTTACGTATATTTCATTCTATGTGGAAACGACATGCTGCGTTTTATGTATGTACATAAAGTCTTTAGTTCTTCTGCAGTTAACAGTGCTCCCTTATCCTAAATATTGACTGATGTTTAAGTTTTGCAGGGTGAGCATATAATACCAAAATGTGTCAAATCATAAAGTTTATGTTTTTTCAAGTCAACCAAGGTAAATAATAAAGAAGGTGGGCGAGAAGGTGATAGATCCCCTGTAGAAATATGAAACGAAGGATAAAACAAAAGAAAAAGAAAAGACGTTCAAGAAAAAGCTAACAGATGTTTCGTTCAAAGTATTGGACACTGCTACACACCTTCCCCTCTCCCTCTCTGACAATTTGTGGACGCCACACCACAAAAAAACTAATGCACACATTTTTTCATTTGTTCACGGCTTCCGAAGCGCTGGAATCTCAGACGAAAACACGTCTGGTGAATAAGGTGTGTGCGATAAAGGTGAGCAGCCACATGCTGATACAGTGTGCTTGGCCAGTTTTTCTGTATCGGGGAAATCCTCGCAACATCTAAATGTCGCTGTCTCATGTCTTTTGAATTTTGGTTGATATATGGATAATAAGCTAACGTTAATGTTCGGTGCTGAGTTTTTGGTTAGGTTGCAAAGCCTCGAGATATATAACGCTCGAAGAGCATCGTTTTCTTCTCAAATCGACTCAGCTATGCATTAAATCTGTTATTCGGTACCAATGATAATCGGATGCCAAGCCGTTTGGAAACGATTTACTAAATGATATTTAATTGTTCTGTTATAGGCTTTGAGTTCGAATGTTTTTCTGATTCAATAATGCTTGCAAATTTGCTTCTTAGATTTTTCGTTCATCTAATCGAAACAACTAATTTTGAATCGGATATATATGTTCATGACGATGTTGATTCGTGTACGTCTTAAGTTTGTTCATGCAATGCTCCAAACTCTTCCAGGTCCGCTGAGTGCTCTTTATCTATGATACATTTTGGGGTTTGGATGGGCAATCCGTACCGCGATCTAGAAAGTCTATTGTACTCGCCATTGTTGTGAAATGCTCCTCAAACACATGCTGTCTAATTCTGTAGATGATTTCACATTCGCATAGAATTTAAAGCGACGTTTCACTCGTCCCTTGGGAGAATTTGCATGAATCGGTATCGAACATATCCATGTTCCAAAGCTATTTACAGATGAATCCGCCAATGTCAAATATTAGATCATGTCAGACATCCTAAAATAAATTTCAATTCATTTATGCACGACACAAAGAGGAGTAGTTAGGATGATAAAAGCAGTGGTTTGGTCATAACAATATGCCAAAAGATCGACGATTCCAAGCCGTGTTTACTCATTGCAAATCGTGGGCCGAAAGAGGTCTTAGGTAGGATAGGGTGCAGAATCGCCGAGGGCAAAGCACGTGTGTTTCTTTAGATGTAACAAAAATTTAAAATTCCCCCATATCTCCCGAACTAGCTAGCTCAGCAATGACACGTGCGTCCAGCTCCACAATGTCTTGATCCTTTTTAAATGTCACTTAAGAATAGGCCTAAAAATAATAAAGTCAGTAGTTCGACAGTTAGACAGATGGAGATGGATTTTTACAGATATCATATGTATATCAAATATGCATTGATTATCCAGGTGTTTATTATTCATTAAAAGCAGAGCTAATTTGCTGCCGGAACAAATTTCTCTGACCAAAAGATTTGAGAGAGACAGATATTTTTATTGCATCTTTTATGGCAAACAATTCAATAAAAGTGGAGGGAAAGTTCTTCCAACATTCTGACTTCGTATAATTTTTAGGATAGATACATTACCACTGAAAACCTTAACACATTATATACGATAGATCAATCGGTGGCACATATATGCTATAGATATTTTTTTAAGAAAGATTAAGATTTTCTCCACATAAAACCCTTCTTCTTTTTCTTCGATTGATATTTTATTTAGTCGTAGATATCGATTCGAGGATATTCATGCAGACTTTATATTTAAGGAAAAAGAATGGAGTTCACTTTATTGAAAAATGTGATAGTTTTTGATAATTAAATGTGTAGCTACATAAGACTACATCGATGAGAGATGTAACTGTTTGGAAGAAGTCAGGATTCGTTACTTTAACCTTGATTAACTTATTAGCAGCTCGAAAAGAGAAAGAGAAAAAAGATTGAAAATATATTAAGCAGTTGAGGGTTGAGCGTTCGACGAATACAACGTTTTAATATTTCATTTTCGAATATCTGCATGATTTTCTTTACAAATTCGATCTTAGACCAGACTAACGCTCCATATATTGTCAGAGCTTTTTTTCAGAAGCAATCCCGACTGATTATTAATCATAAGTTGAATGATGTTACATCCAGGATGGCAGTCTTTGAGGAAATGGAACAGATTTTACTAGTTTCGAGTCACACGATTGTTCCGACTTTTCTACTATGTGCACGGAAAAGTAAACAAAATCGGAAATTCGCCCACCGTTAATGCTAAAGTTGGCTTCTGGTTCATATCAGCAAAGATTCATTTCAGCCCCTCAAACAATTCCACACCAAAATTCCATACACTTGAAAGCTCAAGAAAGAAGAACGAAAAGCACAGCTGATTGGCAGAGATGTATTTTAATCATTTTCCACATGAAAAAGGCATTTATTGGAGAAAATTGCTAAAAACCAATCAAAATGTTTTCCATAATTTTCTGCATCTTTTTACTATCGTTCTGGCAACACAGCGCTGCCGTGTCAAATGTCGTTTGATAGCGATCCAATTACCGACTCATTTCCCTATTTTTCCAGCATATCGAAACCACGTGCCAACGAAGTCATGCTGCGTAGATCTGATCAAGTGGTAATCAGAAGGCGCTATGCCTGGTGAGTATGCTGAGTGCAACAATATTTCGTTCAATCTGTTCTATTGACGTCGGTGAATATCTGTGCTAAAACTTTCATTCTGTTTTAACCTCTTATAACACACTACCATTTGCTGATCGCACCATGTTCCCAGCGAGACTTTATAACTATGAATATTACTTGGCATGCTTTGGTGTCGATGTGAATGGCTCTCCTAGATTAACCTGCAATCTTTTTCGCATGGAATTGTCGTAGTAGACTGACTGACTTTTCACACGCACAGACGCCACAGACAATTCTTCTTCTTGTTCTATCTGGCAAGCAATGAAATGGTTCGAAATTGCATTTTTTATAGTCATTGTTCCTTCACTTTGGATCTTTGGCTTGGCATGCAAACGTTTAAAAACAATTGATTCATCAATTGCTAAGCTATCCGAAAGTTTAGTCATTGGCTTCGAACTTTTTTGGCCCTCCAGGCCGATCTTTGATATTGACATCAAAATCATCACTTTTTGAAGTGTTTTGAAGCCAAAACCGACAGGATTACTATAAGCAGCTAAAAGTGTCTGATGAGTCGCATAAGCAGATTTCTTCAAATCAATATAGAACAATAATCAATGCCGAAAATGCAAATTTGAGCATTTCATGATTAGCATCTGTAAACACTGAATAATTCAATAACCTACTAAATTAAGACCGGTTAGTTTATGTAGAGAAAGGTCAAAATTATCGAATTTAACTGTTATGTACATTGAAAGTTTGCATTAATTTATCATTTTCAGCACTCTATGCCAATCATCAAAATACATGCAGGCATCTATCGATTTCAGTCAATTTTATATGTTCCATATAACGAATAAGTTTGCCAAATTTTTGCATATGTATGAATATTCTGAAATGCGAAAGTATATAGAAATATTATTTACGTACATCTTAATAAAGCGGAAAATTGAAAAAAATTAATAAAAATTTTTTTGAGCGATTTTTTTTTGAAGCGGAAGACAATTTTAATTATTCCTGGCGAGTATGTACACTAGCTGTGGTAAAGGCCACCGTTGCTTTACCCTAGAAGAGAAAGGAGGTGAAAATTACATTAAGGAGGAAAAATACAAACAAATTTAAGCAAGGCAAAAGATGGTATCGGGAAATAATGGCAGAAGAAGTGTCCTGTCTCTCACATCTGTAGCACCTTGAAAAATTATTTTAACCAAAACCCGATTTAATGTCAAATGTTTATAAGAGTGAGAAGGAAGCTAAGCTACTTCGGGATGAGTAAAAACTTTTTCGGCCAAAATCTTAAATATAGCGCCATTAGGGGACTGATGAAACAATTTCACTATTTTGATAATGTTGTAGAATTTGCATGGTATACGCGAATCATAGATTGAAGATAAAATGAAAGTTTCTTTAAACTGGTTTTCACAAGCGTATCACCACACCGCCCCCGTTACTTTTCATAATATTGCCACGAATATAAGCTGTAGTGGTAAAATATGCTCTCCTATTAAATATTTTTCACATTTTCTCACCAAATTTAAATTTGCCGAGTATATGCTTGACTATCGTGCGAATCGCGTCGATTTGAATTTGCTTATTTTTTTTTTTTTTCTCTTTTGTTTTAATCAATTTTTCAAAAAAGTTGATCAAGATCAAAACTCATTAGCTATTCATATACTTTGACTTGTCGCGATAGCGAGAAAAGAACTTTAGCGAAGGCATTGCATGCTTCGCGACGAATTGAATACACTCGTCGTGTTCATAGAGACAGGTAAAAACAAAAAAATTTCAGTTGCTTTAAAACTTTTATACTTTTATATATATGAGAAAATTTTGGAAAAAGATTACCCTACTATTAGTGAACAAAAGATGATGTTAATTGATTTCTTGACTACTTTTCCTAATAAAAATCCATTAAAAAAACATCTAAAACGATTCCGATTTTGATGCAAATGCATACATTTACATTATCATATATACATCTGCGGTATGCATTAAATTGGTGGATATATTAAACATTTTAATTCAAAAGTGTGTATATATATATATGTATATATACATATATACGTGTTATATATATATATAAAAGTCTTAAATTACTCGACAAACATTTCTTTTATTTACATTTATAATTACAGCAACATCCGCGTTACTTTTTAAGCAATTAAAATGGTTTATGATATAATTTGAAACTATTTTCTATATATTTAAATATTTTTAGATGGTAAAGCGAATACAAATGAAAATCTTATTTATATATGTTAATATTTATGCTGCGATATTAAGAGCCTTAAATTCATCATCGTGCATTTCGGTCATCATGAATGTTCCGTCCTGTAATAGTAAAACAACACGCCGAGTACCACCTACCAAAAGAATCAATTTTAATTGTATTACTAAAGTGATGAGTTTCTCATTATATTTACCGGGTGAAGGCAACTCCGCTTGCACTACTTCGGCCGGTATATTGGCCTCTTGGCCATCGGAACCGTCTCCGGTTTGTATACACAGTTGGCTGGTAACACCGGCATTTGATACGTTGCCGCTCTGAGCGGCAGCCGCTTGCTGCTGTTGAGCTGCCGCTAAAGCCTGATGCTGAGCCAGTTCAGCTTCGGTCATCGTGACCATTTGTGTAGTTCCATCCTCTTGCGTTGTTTTAACGATATATTGACCACCGCCAGATGATTCACCGGCAGCGGCTGCCGCGAAAGCTTCGGCATGTTCAGCTGGTAATTGTGCCACCGCTTCGGCTACCGCATTGTCTAATGTTAAAACTTGATTTTCGTTTTCGCCCTCAGCGGCCGCTACATAAGCAAACTGCTGTTCACCGTCGGGCCCTTGAGTAACCAAAACAGTTTGACCTTCAGCATTTTTTCCGGCCACCTGATAAACGGTACCATCTTCACCGGTAACTAATAAAGGTGTGCCATCTTCATTCGTAAGCATCTGATCCTGGCTTAGCAGTAAATTTCCATCAACATCGTGCAACTGCTGTTCTTGTTCCTGTTTAAGGGCCATATGCTGCTGTAATTCGTTCTTCGTTTGGGCATGAATAACAGTATTGTTTTGTACCTGTGATTGTTCTTCACCTCCGGGCGTTATTATATTTCCTGTAATTTATTTTCGAGCTTGATAATTTCCGTAAATTATTTATTCGCTTACCTGTAATGGGACACAGTTGGGCCTGATGCTCTTCTTCTTGCTGAACTGATACGGTAGACGGTACTGCGGCTTTACGTGTTAATGTTGCTCCAGAGCTGCTCCTTTGGGCTCCTCCAGATAATTGCTGTACTTTTTGAATGTGTATTTGAGATTGTTGTCGTGCTTGCTGTTGCCTTTGTTGTTGTTGTTGTTGCGAAGCGCGTTGTGCCATTACATCCTCACGAGTCATTACTTTTCTGGTGACTTTAAGGTCTCCGGATTTTGAAAGTTGTAAAATTTTCTGTTCGGGTGTCACAGCTTTCTGCTGCTGACCACCAGTTCTACCAGCTCCCGTATTGCCCGATGTTGCTTGTCTTGGTATAATCATGCGTCCCGATGAAGGAGTAGTTTGTTGCCCCGTACGTGACTGTAAGCTGGAACCACTACGTTGTATGGTCGTTGAACTACCACCGGCGGGTATAGTTTTCTTCTGTATAGTTGTGCCACTTGGTGTACGTACAATTTGCTGTTGTACTCCTTGCCGTACTTGAGTGTTTGGTTTTGTAGCGGCTCCGACACGAACATGTTGCGTACGCGTTGCCAATTGCGATGGTGTCTTCGTTTCTGTTTGATTATTGATAACTGTAAAGGTTGTGGTGGCACCCGTTGTAACACTAGTATCTTGATTAGCACCATCAGTTATGCGCACGATACCAGAATTCGAAACAGATGTTTCACCCTTAGAAAGAACACGAATTGGAGCTTCAGATTTAAGAGTCTACAAAAATATATTTTTTACAGGAATTTTAACGAATTCTTTTCTACATGTTCCCACAAATAGAAAGAAACATTTTACACAACTTGTTTTATTTAGTAACGATCGCTTTCATTCTTACCGAATTGCTGCCAGAGCCTGGTTTCTTGACCACACCGGAAGCCTGGGCATCTTGAGTTATAAAAACCTCGGCTGAGTTCGACGATGACTCAGCTCGACCGGCAGTACCGTTAACTTTCACCTGCTTAATCTAAAAACGAAAAACACTCAGATGTTTGGATAGTCCGACCCCAACACTCATTTAAATGTAAATAGTAACATTTTTAAAATTATGCTCGCTATACCCACTACCTGTGACCAATTTGCTTAGTAATCGAACTCGATGCGCTGTATGCATTTTATAGATAACACAGCAGGAGCAATACAAGTGTATAAATAGTGCAATGCATAGAAATATTCTTGCGAGATTTAACTCTGGGCGGAAGGTAAAAATTTTTTTTGTTATATTGTATTATGGAAAGAGGCCGACAAGCCTATAATTGTTCACATAATTCAATTTAATTTGCTATTGAAATCTGTCGAAGAACTGACGGACGTATAAAGGTAAATGTGTTGGTGGATTTAGAATATAAATGAATTAAAATTTACACATATATATTGCAAAGTTTTTTGGCACGAAAATCTTTTAAATTTGCGAAAATGGAATCACAAATTTAGTTTACCTCCATTCTTCCCTTGGTTGTGGGCATCCTTTTCTTGAAAAAATTATGACGTACCCGATCTCTTCCTCTTTTACTTACACTATCCTGTTTAGTTTTCACTTCCACCGATACCGCATTTCCATATTTCATTCTCTTTAAAGTGTGTGAAGGTATTAAATCCTCTTCAAGGTCTTCCATGGTGGATGTTGTTGACGGCGGCATATCACTTGTATTTGAATCAGAATCTTCATGTTTACGTTTGACGGCTGACAAGTTAGTTGTGGCATTATTCAAAGACCAATCCTTATCGTGTTCCGTAGCATGGGCTGTTTCCGAATTTGGTGAGTTGGCAGCCGAATTAGAAGCATTTGATCCACCTGCAGAAACCCATTGCTTTACTTGATCTAAAGCTTTAGTTTTAGAGGTGCGTTGAGGCCTTTCGGAAGGCGAAGCCATTTGTAATTTATTTCCTTCCGAGGGAGAGGAAGTGTCTATAGTGGTTTTTAATAGATTTTTAGACGCCACAGTAGATATAATCTCCTTTTTAATGCCCTCATTTGTCTTATTATTAGTTTCGCCAGGCTTAAGTGTGCCCTGGTTGGCGGCAGCTTGTTGCTTGGCTTGCAGAGCAGCACGAGTTTCTTTTTGACGTGCTAATTGCTTTTCGAAAGTGTCTAAAAGATGAGGAACATTCTCCAAATGTGATGCTGGTTCCCAAGTGTTTTGTAAGGTCTGAGATTCCCATTTTACCAAATATTCGTGCATGCGGCGCCGGGGATTAAAGCGCTTGGCCACGATTTTTTCAACATTTTCTTCAACAATTTCATCACTGTTGGGCACAGTACGTTTGGCACGACGTCTAATTGATAAAATGTTGTAATAATTGCGAATACATTAAAGAAAATGACTATAAAAGCTTACGTTAAATTTTTGCCGAGTGTGGAGATATTGTTTGAAGCACTGTTGGCAGGTTTTCCTTGAATTTGTGACGTCGTTATAGGTTTTTTAATAATTTTCTGCAAAGTATTCTGGGCTAAAGGACTTTTCATAGGTGAAGACTCCACCTCGGACTCTTCAACTGCACTTTTGTTATTAACGGGTAGTTTAACGGGCAACTTTAAATTGGTTACTTGAGGTTTTGTCTGAGTTAGTGGTTCTAAATACGACATATAAATTCATTTCAAGATTACTCAATTTAAATGCCGAATACTTACTTCTACCCGGAGGAACTCCATCAGCAGCGGCACTATTATTAACTACTGTTTTAGTGATTTTTACAGGCATTTCCTGTAGATTACCTTGGCTAACTTTAGCAAATGATTGTATAGTTTTGCCGGCCACTATCCAGGTTTCTCGCATACTTTCATCCATTTTAACCCAGGTTTGATACAAAGACCATGAGTTCGGACTATTCGAATTATCCCGGTTGTTATTTAATTGGGTAGCTTTCCATAAAAGGAACGCCCATATTTTTGGTTTAGTATCATTGCATTCGCGTACATTGTTATTCTCCTTAAAACAAGGATGTAATTTATGTTGGATAAAGTCTTCAACGAAATGGGTAACTGCTAGGCAACGGCCGCATACTAAAACGTCCATTATCGCCATTTCCTCTTGAGCAACTAAAATAGTTGTAATTAAATGTAAATAACGTTACTTTTTATGAAAGGAAGATCTGTAAAAAACTTACTTTTAATAAGTTTGGCATGCTTGCCAATCTCAGTTGGCGTTATTTCCCGTCCTACCATTTTCATATAAATCTAACAAACTGAAGTATATATATATGATATATATTAAAATCACCAAATTTAAACGAGTTGGAGCACGTTATATGTAAAACATGATGAATATAAGTATAATTTTATTTTCGATTTTCACTTTTTTAAAAAGGATATCATCGCTTCGAATTAAACACGTTTATTATATTAATTGGTGGAGAAATTTTTATCATATCAACGATTTTTGAAATTTATTTAGCTTTTAATTTTTTGCCACCTCTGTCATGACCATAAGTAAAGCGTGGTGAATAAGAAAATGAAAAGGCAGAAAAAAGCTACAGTAATTTAGAATTGGAGTAGAAAATACAAAAACATAATAAATGTAAAGGCTAAAAGGGTCAAAAAATAAAACAAATGTAATAATTCCCTATATATAATATATCAAGAGGAAGAGAAAGGCATATAAAAGGGGCGCCAAAAAAAGGTTCAATAATAATCTTTTAAAGTTAACTTCAAGATTACAACGAAAATTATAGTTAAACTTAAAAGCATAGTTAAACTGTACCTAGGAGCTATCAGATAATTTGTATATTTAAACTCCTATCGGGAAAACTAAATGGATTTCCCTTTTACCATACAGAAGATTTCGTCACCGACGGTCTTTATTCACTTCTTTGCACTTAATAGGATTACAAAATAATTTACCTCTTTTAATTACAATAAATATTGTACTCCTTTATATATTTTCACGGAAATATATTAAACTTTTAACAAACTATACTTTTTTCAGACAACCAGTATATGTTTAGAATAATGGTGTATTATCAATTATTCCGCTGCTACTTTTACAATAGCTTCTCCGTTTATTTTCGGTAAATTAACAATCATTATGCAGTTTATTTACACTTAATTGCATTTTTATTTAACGTTTGTTAACTTTTTTAAACAAATTTATTTCTCTCAAATTTCATGGACCGAAAACTAAAAACTACATCAATCAACAGCAAGTCAACGAAAATTCCGTTCGCTGTAATTGTGAAGCAGTTGTGTTGCGAATTATTGGCCGAGGTGTACAGCTGAGGTGAAAATTAAACGAGTCATATTCTCTAACGAAGCATATACAGAAAACGCGGCGAACGGAACGCTTTTGTTGTTGCTTGGTAAAGATGTAAAATTTCTAGGGTTGCCTAATTCTCAAAAGAAAAAACAAGAAATTGAAGAAAAAATTAAATAATTGAATGGAAAAAAAGCGAAAACAGTTAGCGAATCGGTCATAGAATAAAAAATTATAAAAAGACTTTTTGACAACTGTGTTATTCTATATAAAGTTGCCAATTTGTGAGATTTTAGTTGTTACGGAGCACAGTGAATGCTTTTCTAATTTTTCACCATATCTTTAAGCACACTTCAGTTTTAGAAAAGGATTTGGATGATTTGCATGAAATCTAATTAAGGATAATGGATAATTTAGATGGTGAAGAGCCTAAAGAATATCGATGGGAGACCGGCTATGAAAAAACATGGTAAATAATGAGGAAAATCAAAAATTTTTTGCTTCATCATTTTTTACGAACTTTTCCAGGGAAGGTATTAAGGAGGATGATGACGGCATACTGGATGATGCCATCGCTGAAATTATACAAAAAGCGAAACGTAAAAGGCAGGCTCAGAAAACTAAGCAAAATAAATTGGGCATGATGCGACATTTGTTCATAATATTAGATTGCTCTGAGTCGATGTCTGTTCCTGATCTTAAACCAACAAGGCTTTTATGCACCTTAAAAGTATGACAAAAATTATTTAAATATAAAAGTATTTAAGAAATTTTAAATATTTTTCTTTCGTAGTTGTTGGAAATTTTTATTGAAGAGTTTTTCGATCAAAATCCAGTTAGTCAAATGGGTTTAATTGTTTTGAAAAGCAAGCGGGCTGAGAAAATTACTGCATTAACGGGGACCGCCAAACTGCATTTAAATGCATTAGAAAGGTAAACATTTTTGCCTATTCGAGTGAATTTGAAAAATCTTTTTTTTTCTTTTCTTCTTCCAGTTTAAGCAAAATTAGCCTTTCTGGTGAACCTTCCTTGCAGAATGGCTTAGATTTAGCATTGAAATCTTTAAAAGTTGTGCCCTCTCATGCCTCTCGAGAGATTTTAGTGATTATGGCGTCTTTAACTACATGTGATCCTGTTGATATTAATGTTACAATTGACATTTTAAAAAACGAAGGAATACGTTGTTCAGTAATTTCTCTATCTGCTGAGATATACGTTTGCCGGCATCTCACACAACAAACTGTCGGTTTATATGGTGCCGTACTAGATGATGCTCATTTTCGCGATCAACTTTTGGCCTACATCGATCCTCCGGCAGCTAGTCAAACACAAGAGAATTCACTTATTAAGATGGGCTTTCCTCATGCTCGCGCCGATGAAAGTAAAGATCCCCCACTTTCTATGTGCATGTGCCACATTGAAAATCCTGAGGAGCCAAGTAAACTAACATCGGGTGGCTATCATTGCCCACAGTGTTTTAGTAAATATTGCGAGTTGCCGGTAGAATGTCAAACATGTGGCCTCACCTTAGTTTCGGCACCACATTTGGCTCGTTCGTATCATCATTTATTTCCTGTACAACATTTCGCAGAACTTGCTTACAATGGCCAGGCAGCCGTATGTTATGCCTGCCAGCGGCCGCTGTCTGAATCTACCAATAAGTTTGTATATCGATGTGAGATCTGCACGCAAATCTATTGCTGTGACTGTGATATTTTCATACATGATACTTTACATACTTGCGTTGGTTGCAATACCATACCGGGCGTAATGGCGCAATTTTATAACCGGAAACCTCAACCGCTACCGAATATGGTCATAGGCAACTCTTTAGGTCAAAGGTTTTAAAAGAAATTTCACAGCGTGATTTTAAAGTAATAATAAAATTAAAAAAAAAAAAAAAAAAAAAAAAGAGAAAAAGAAAAAAGACATCAGGACTTTCTATTTTTCTTATTGCTTACTATAATCATTCATTTCATGAAATGAAAACAACTTGTTCTCACACAACTGATCAAGTGCATAAAACGCATACGATTGCTAATTATGAGCCAGAGAGCTTTTCCACAATGCAAAAGTAAGAACTTAATATTGAAAACGATGTTTGCTGTTTGCTGTTTACTGATCTTTTGAACATATACACACACGTTTGCTGGCCAATGGCCAAGCAGATTATAAGTAAAAAGCTTTGTTTCTATTTTATTTATTTATTTATTATTCTTTTTTCTTTTTTATTTATTTATTATTTTTTTTTTTTTTAAAGTCAAGTGTTCTGCTTTTTGATGGCAATTTAATATTTTCTGATTTGTTTTTGTTCACCTAAGTATTAGTCACCTTTTCGAAAGCCAAGTTTAGAGTTCGTTTGTGCTATAAGTTAATTGAGAAATAAAAAAACAAAAAAATTATATGTGTGGGTGTGTTATACCTTTAATTGAGGAAATTGAAAAACGGTACAAGAAAATTAAAAAAAAACAAAAAAAAAAATAAATAAAAATAATTAAAAATAATCTATAAAATGTGAAAAGTTTTTTGTACAAAATAAATGATCACCATTCAAAGAGATATGTCGTTACTATTATGATAACTGTGAGAATGTAGATTTCCCTAGAAATCCTGGACAGCGTTTACCAAAGAGTTGAGATTTGTATTAAATTACTTGTAATTGGCCTCAGCAATGAACATGTTTATTTCGTCTATAACGTGCAAATATCTACTTGATTCAATTAGTCAAATCAACACAATTCTATCATCCTCTTATCGCGTAACACTTAGAGAGACTTGCAGCAATTAGGTGCATAAGCTCATCATCCATTAAAAATTAAGAATAAATTTGGCCATGTCCGCCTCTGAATCTATTTGAGAGAACTTTTAATTATTTTATGGCTTATTAGTTTTTAAACTTCAATCAGGGAGAGAGTAAGAGAGAGAGAGAGAGAGAGAGAGAGAGAGAGAGAGAGAGAGAGAGAAACAGTTTGCGTATGGTGAACTTCTTCACAGGTCATAGTTAAATATTAATGTTTTTTCTTTTATACTGCGTGCTGCGTTCGGAAAATGTAGTTAACACAATATGCGAAGACTGAAAGAATCAATGCCAACCGGTATCGTATTTGTAGTTTGGAAGACGCTTTACTTTACATTGTCGGATGGTCGATGAAAGATAGCTTGCCATCAATTCTCGTTATGTAAAAGAGAGAAAAGTCTTGTTTCTTTGTTTGAAAGGTGGAACAAATGGTTTTCATTTTAAATATGGGCTCTCTTTCATTAATATAAAAGATAATCATCGACGTTCACAGATGACAACATTTAATATGATCTTTTCATAGTTAATAATGGAATTATGGGTTTGCAAATAGCAATTCTTTTAATAGTTTATATATCTGTTAGTCACAGAGCGAAAGAGAGAGAGAAAGAGAGAATTAATAAGAGGCATAATAGCAAGGAAAGTGTGTTTGAAAAATACCAGCTCCTCAGTTTTACCCCTTTTTTATACCCATCGCTGTAAGACGGAGTGATACTCATTTTGCAATGTATGTAACCCACCCAAAAGGAAGCATCAGAGACCCTATAAAGTATATATATTCTTGATCAGTGTGATAAACTGAGTTAATTTAGCCATCTCTGTCTGTCTGTTTGTCTGTGTGGCGTTTATTATCGGCATTCTCCTGGTCGCAAAAATGGAGATATCGACTTCAAATTTTTCCCAAGCATTGGTAGTTTCTGTACGCGCACAGAATGTTTAAAACTATTTTATACACTTCTTGAGTGAACATATATTATCTGCCTAAAAATAGGTTGATTCTAAAATCAATACGGTAGACACTGCGATTACATATTTCTTAGTAATACTAGCGATATGGGTATCAAATAAAAGAACTTTCAGAGTAGAATGCGACAAGCATAGTGGCGGGTGTGCGAGGTTCGGCCGCCTCCGCCGTATATAACTTTCTTTCTTGTTTTCTTTTTTTTTTTTAATAATCACAAGAATTATATATTAATTGGTAAAGTTTGTAACACATAGGTAAAGGAAACGGGCGCCGTTCTCTGAACAAAAAAAAAGGTGACCTCAAAAAGTTCTATGGTTATTTTAGATCATATGAAACTGTGACTTATAATATGAGTGCTACCATATATGATCGCCCCATGACGCGATCAGGTATCGTACAGACGGTGAAGGTCATGTATATTAAGAAATTTGACTCAAGCTACATATAACTTCTTTCTTGTTTTTTTTTTTTTTTTTTTTTTTTTTTTTTTTTTTATAGAACAAAAATGTAAATGGTTTTTATAATACGTTTGATTGTTGAAGGAATCATGGCACCCTTTCGTGTTTATTATAATCGTTCAGATAATTACAAGAGCTTCTAATGAATTTTGAATCGCTTAGATCCATTTAGGATCAAGTTTTGTTCACATTCAATCATATCATCTGTTATTAAGCAATGGAATTGAATGGAATTGTTATACCCTACACCACTTATCGTGCAGGGTTTGTACGGACGTGTATAGCACACAGAATGGCCTAAGATAGACCAAAATTTTATTGTACCGATTAATTCAGAATCATCTTCAGAATCGACCTAAGCCTGTCTGCCCGTCTGATGTCTGTCCATGTAAATTTATATGTCGTAAATTTTAATGAAAAAAAAGAAAATCCAGCGAACGTCCATTGCTTTGTTTATTGCTTACCCTTCTTCAATGATCCATTTTCGTTTCTTTTGAATCAACTCTGAGCTATTTACATTTCTAAATGGCAATCTAAACCGGTTCTGACTTTTGCTGTCACCTAACGCGTTATTGCCGCGTATTTTATAAAAGTTCTTACAGTTTTTATTTATTTATTTTTTTGAATGACGAAAATGAAAATTAATTGACAATTTTATTAAATTAAATGTTAATCCATGGTTTTAACTTATAGTGCCCGATAATGATCTTATTCAATTTTATTGTTATCATAATTGCCGACATTTTAGACACTTTAGATTAGAAATAAATTTGAAGTTAACAGCTAAGCTCCAGTACAGTAATTTTTTTTTTTTTTTTTTTTTTGTTAATTATTTTTATATTGCTTTCTTATGACTGGGGTATATATGGCGTTTCGTCGCGCACTAAATTCGTTTGTAGTGTTGTTGTGTGAAAGAATGGACGAAAGGACGAATCTCAATTTTTTTTTCTTTTTTTGCATCTGTTTTGTATTTGTTTTTAAAGGTTTTTGGAAACGTGAGGTTGATATAAATTACGTATGGCTTACCACTGACATATTGAAAATAATTTTCATTCAAATTTGAAATCAAAAACGAAAAGAAGAAGAAGAAGATGCGATTGAAAGAAATGATGTATTTCGATTGTTTTGTTTGCACCGCATCGTATGCCGCTCGTCAGTCAGATATGTTGCGAAAGGACATACGGAGAGAAGAAGAAGAATGAAAGAATGCTCTCATTCGATTTAATTTCGTATAGTAAGATACAATTTTCCACCGATCTCTGTCCAGAAATATGAAAAAGTAGTAAAGTTTTTTATCAGCAAATATCAGACAGACAAACGTACAGATATGTTTGAACGGACGCATAAGTGTACAATTCTGAATTCGCCCAAGTTCATGGAAGCGTTCTTACTAGAAAAGATATTATTGAAATATGTGAAGAGAATAAGAAATAAACCGAGTATCGATTGGTAAGTTTTGATATACAAATCCATGAGATTCCCATTAAACCAGCGTCGATACGAGAAAATCGTTTACTCCTAAAATATTTAAATTGCTGATAATAGAGAGAAAATCTAGCAGTGCTTTTGGTGTGTGCATGTGTGTGTGTGTGTGTGTGTGTGTGTGCATGTAAACTGAATATTATTAGTCTAACTTAATATTGTTACAAGGCATATATTTTATAGATTTATCAAATCCTTCTGCCATGCGGTCAGATGAAAACGAATTACGTTATTTAAACTTATGCTTTGTTCTAATAATTTATTTATTTTTTTTTTTTGTTTTGTTTGGACGTTGTTGCAACGTCCAGAGGTAAGCGTCAGAGAACCCATAAAGCGTCTACGTTCTTAATTAGCATTAAATTCTAAAACGATTTAAGCATGTCCGTCTGCCCGCATGTCCGCCTCTCCGTCTCTCCGTCTCTCCGTTTGTGTAATGTCTGTTGTAAACTGTTGTCCTGGTCGATTTCAAATTTGACGGAAACGTTGGAGTGTTTGCACGCAGATTGGTATTGAAGGACATGCCCACAGCACCACGTAAACTGAGAACATCTCTATTTTTCAAAAGCAGTGAAAAATTGCTTTATTGCTTATTACTTATAAACTATTGCATATAAATGTATAAAAATTTGAACGTATATTCTCTATAAAGAGTACAAATTGTTGGCCAATTTCATAATATCGAATGCATCATAAACCCATGTCAACCCTACTCGTCAGTCAATCTGTCTGCTTGTCCAATTTTGTTGTATTTGTGGTAAATTTTCTCCCGCCATATTTGCAAAAGAATTTAGAATTGACCTAAGCTTTTCAAAGGACACGCCTATAATGCCCAAATTCATAGACGAGAAAAATGTTTATTTTGAAAATAGAAAAAAAGCAATTGCGCCCACTCTTTATTGTAGAGCATGAGAATTTTGTTCTTTGACTTCTTTTGTCTTCTTTTGGGGTAAATGGTGTTGAGGATCGAATTTAATTTTTTTGTCTCTTTTTTTACGTTTCAAATCGAACATGCCAACTTAGGGGAATGATAAAGTCTTATCGTTAGGATCTTCAAGGCTCTCGAATGGATGTTAAATGTTTGTTAGTTAACCTCCTCTTTCTTCTCGCTAAAGTCGGCTTAAGCCATTTGCGCCTCCAACTTCCGAAAATTGGTATATGAATAAGACGGTACAT